AGAGGTTTACTGCAAAATACACATATTTACCAAGGCTTCTTTGTGCCATGTTCCTTGTGGCTTAAAACATTTTACAAAGGTTTACATCAGTTGTTTGGATTAACTCATATAAACCCACAGACTTTTGTCCGTGGCCTTTATAGTTATATAAAACTTTAAACTTAAACGTAAGTAATAATAACTATAACCAAATTTCCTAAACTGATTGCCTACCAGCACCCGTAATTTCAACATTAATAGGACATTTTGTATGCCATGCCTAAAAAACTGGACAGTGCATGCCATCACTGGCACACTTGAATGTCTTTTCTTTAGCTTGTTTTGTTGTCTAGCAAAAACTCTTTGAAGATCTTGTCTATTTTTAAAAAAGCTTACATCATAGACTTGCCACTAGTCAATCTCAATTAGTGCCAGAAACAAGAAGTGATAGACTTTGAGAAAGTCTACACCCACAAGTGTCCTATTACTGTTTTGATTAACTGGTAACAGAACGTCTGTTGTCCAATTCAGGCCATAAAATACTTGTTTAAAGAAATCGGACCATTTTTTGGACAATATTTTTGAAGACGGAATGGGAAAAGAGCATAAAAATCAAAAAGGCTTTATTTAAAGACCCTCAGCTTCTTTTGTGTGGCGCCAGTGATCATCATAGTTGTAGTTATTAATACTATTGTTATATATAGATAACTGGCAGGGTGGAAAAAAAGTCGGTATAATTTACAGACTGCCATTCGGGCAAGCTGTAGCTGGCATGTACTAGCCCACAAGTCATTTCAACTAGCCCCCAAACCCTTTTTGATTAGCAGGATTGATTATAATCCTTCTGTAATTTGAATTTCCCCAAAAAACAGCACTTGCCTGTTGGGCAAATTACATTGTAAGAACAAAAATTACTAGCCTGATAGCAAAATCCACTAGCCCCGGGCTATTAGACACAATTTTCTTTGCACGCTGAACTGGTTACTCTTTCATTTCTTATTTTGACTGAAGGCAGCTACTGCAAACATACAAATGATTACTTCATAAAAATAAAAGTAGAGAACTGGCCAGTTAATTCACTTGTTCCGTTGTTATCACTGTTTGAGCTGTAAAAATTGAACTGTACTTGACCACACTCAAGAGATGTTTTCCCCCCTTCACCATACCATGAAGGGGGGCCTCTAATGAGTGACCTAACCACATATCTGTTGCTTTCATGTAAACAGAGAGGAGGATCAAAACAGACACTAAATCCGTAATAGCCTAGCTTCTCATCTTTTAATGATGAGTAGGACCCTGTTTTCTTTACCAGTGTAAAATTATTTGTGGTATCTTTAACTTCTATAGAAACAGTGTACTCATGACCTGCACGGCCAAAATGTTGAATACCATGTAACTTAACTGACTTATTAACAGACAAAACAATCACATCAGGTTTACCAGAATTATATGACCAATACCTTTTTGGTGGACTGTAATTTGAAAATCTGTAGCATTGATGGAGCTGTGTGCTGTCAGTCCTTGGGGTCTGTATAAATGGTAAAGGGGAAGTTAACTCAACATCATTATAGAATTTCATTAATTCACTCATCTCTCCAATATTAAGAATTCTCGAATCTAAACCAACAGAGACAAACTCCTTCTGTGACATCAGTGGAAACCGTATTGCTTTCACGATGTCTTCTCCAATGATTCTTCTCTTTGACTCGCCATCAGCAGTTACTCCTTGCCTTTCACATTCTCGTGTCGCCCAGCGATCAACAGCTTTGAACAGATCCACTTCCTTTATGGTCAGTCTTTCCCTCTTCACAACACTCTCAATAATAGATCGCTCAAGCGTGACAAAATCATCTGACGTCACAGCTTCCTCTGTGTTCTCCTCGATCACTTCCCAGCATCGATCTTTCAGATCTTTATCCTCAAATTTTTTAGCGTGTGGAAGAATGGAGAATACATTGGCTGCTGATACGTTTTCTCGTAGATATTCACTGCATTTCCCTGCAAGTGAAGGTACCATGTACTTATCCGCTAAGTACAGAACATGCATCACGTTACTTAAGGTTAGATTCGCCGTATCGCTGTATAGGTACCGAAGAAACTCCAACAGACTATCGTACTCACAGTCAGGTAGTTCAACACAGTCCTTAGCCTCCGCCAGTTCGCCATAAAACATGGCGTAGAAGACAGGGCTACTGATAGCCAGCACGAGCTTGTGGGCTGGAATCGTCTTCCGGGTTTCACTTTCAGTTTCCGAAACAGGAACCACAAACTTAACATCGCTCAATAAATCGTTGTTGAAAATAACCGTGGTTCTTTCTTTAATGGTTGATAGTTTCATCTGCCAGTTTTCAACAGCTGCCATCGTTTCTGTCAGATTAACCGTCTAGACAACTTCTTAGTACTTTGCCCTCTCCTCTGTGTCGTAGGGAGGCTGGGGAGAGGGAAAAAAGAAAGCGCCTGGGGATGAGACTGTCCCTGGGGATTGCCTGCGGACGATGGGAAGGGGAAAAACCGGGGAAGGGAAGCTTCCCATTGTCCACCGCCCTATTTTTATGGAGTAGACTTTAAATCTACTTGCAAACGAACGCAACAATAATGCGTCCGCTTACACTGGGCTAAAAGTTTGAGCGGTTTTAAACTTTGCGCAACAACACACAACGTGTAACATCCAACAATGTTGAGAATTGTTGGCCAAATGAATGTTGCGTCCGTTTGCACCATAGTCTCTCCAAGTAACTTTACTGCGGAGAAGAGAGAGAGGTTCCCCAGCATAGATTCCAAAATGTCATAAGGGTGCTTACCATGAACACAGACAACCTGGGTGGAAATCTTGTGCAAAAACATAAAACTATAAAATTTAACGTGGTGGGAGAACAACCCGCTACAAAGTATCCCCAAATCAGCGTCACAGACTTAAAAGAGTAGAAAAATTGCATCGCCCGAAATCACAGACCATATTTTCTGAAGCTTTCCAAAACGGAAGGTGCGAACCATTTGATTTTCCAATTGTAAATTGTAAGTTAGTAGCCAGAAACCACTATTTTTTTCGTAACTATAATTTGACTCTCATGTGGGCAGTGATGAGGAATTTTAGAGAAAAAGGGAAGCGATTGATTCGAAGCACTTACGTTATTTTTGCGAGGCTATCAGGAATGAGATTAACTGTCAGCCGTCACACGGCGTAAAATCTAACAAATTTTTACTGTTAAAAATGCAGATTAATATTTACCGTCATAAAGTCTGTTAAAAGGTGTCTCAAATCTCACTATTTCAGAAGGATCTCTTAACTGGAAAAAGACCTCGCCTCGGTCCTTTTCCCGGGGGGGTATTCCCATCAATTTCAGACCAATCCTCAAAAATTCTAGCCTCCCACGCATGCTTTTTAGGGGAGCTCGTATTTCGTCCCTCCCCACAAATAAGAGCTCCCCTAAACCCGCCTGCGTGGGAGGCTACAAAAATTCAAGAGAGGAATCTTCCTACAAATCGCTTTCCTAATATTTTAGTTGGTATTGCAGTTCAGTTTTAGCCGGATTTATCAGTTCTTGTTACTGGGCATTTAGATGCTCATAACGGTACCCCATCTAAGGATCACACCGGGAATACATCGCCAACAAGGGCAAAAACATGATTGCCTTCTTAACACATGATTTTAAGGATGGAGCCCACCACTGCCAACAAGGATGCAGCAACTCCCAACATTGTTGGGCCAACAATGTGCGACAACTCCCAACATTATTTGGCCAACAATGTTGGGATCTGGAGTGCATCCTGGGAAGGATATAAGACTTTGTAAACTCCACGGAGACCATGTGAAATGCGCGTGCTTGGCCCCAACAATGTTGGAAGAGCTGCCAAACAGATCCAACATTGTAATGTGCTACGCTTCGGTGGAAGTTGCGGGTTAAAAGTTTGACCGGTTTCAAACTTTGCGCAACAACTCCCCATAAGCATGTAACAGGACGTGCAAATGGATGCAACGGTACATGTAACAATGTTGCATCCGTTTGCACGGGACTAAACTGAAGATTTTGCCTTCTCAACCAACTTATTTTACTTTTCTCAGAGTTTGCTCGTCCCCTCCTTTCCCAATGTTGAGATTCGCGTATATTTGCAGATGGGTGTTACGTGAATCAACGTCGGAATGGGCGTAAGGTGACTGGTGTTTCAACAAATGTGAAGAGCATTGTACTCAGGAAGAAGGTAGCAGAGGTTCTCTTTTCTCGTGTCTGACGAGGAGCTTCGTTGGCCACAGGCCGACACGTCTTCAACCGATTTAACCGAAACGGCATCTTCGGAGTCGGAGACCCAGGGGCAGTCAGTCGGGTCAGGAGAAAAGGTGCGACGAAAGTTTTAAAACACTTTCGTCGCGCCTTTTTTCCCAACGCGACTGACTCGTGCCCCTGGGTTTCCGAGGATGCCGAAACCGGGAACCGCGCATGAAAAGCCTCTGGCACCTAGTAGGGTAAGAGTATTGTAGCCCACATGTGGGAGTACCCCCTGGGTCCTCTGTATTTACATGGTAATCCTTAAATATTTTACCAGGACCGTATTAATATTTAGCACTTGGCATGTTATGACGCGCAGCGTTTACTGTCTGAACGGCACTATTATTGGCCAACAAACAGTGTTTTTGGCGTAATTTACCGCGACTATTATGCCAGCCTGTACGGGTTTTAAGCTTTGCATCCATTTATGGATCCTGACACCCTTTCTAACATCAGGTAGTATGTGTTTCATCAAATTTGTACTTGTGATATTTTATCTCCCTTTATTAATATTTTAAATACCCATGAACGTAGTGACGCAGAGATCTTAGGATCGCTAGAAGGCCTCCTGTTTCTTTCCTCCTATTTATTTTAGACTGATATCGACTTAATTGTAGAATTAAATAGTCCATAGTGACCACTGGTAGTAGACATCGAAGAAGTGACGAAAAAAATCATTGAACCATTGCTTTGAAATGTAAAAAACGATTAATAAATAACATGACATCTGCAAGAGTACGCTGAGAACATCATAACGTGGCACTGTTGGCAGAATTATACAAAACAGCCATTTCTCTAACATACGAAGAGCAAAGATTTGACGAACGTAGAACAAACTTGAACTTGTGTAAATCGAGACTAACTTTCAGTCAGCTAGTTATGGTCAGATCTAGATAAACGCATCTCGCAAACCCTAACGAAAATCGGTGTTGCCATCTATAGAAAATAAACTGAGACCCCCTTTTGATATATCTTCCATTGACAAATGGTACGTACCCTTTTATTTCACATAAGTTCAAAAAAATACTGCATCTCTTTCAAGATTTAACTGCTGTGACTGGCCTGTCTTTTTTCAAGAATGAACAGATTTTTTGTTGACAGATTTTTCAACCTAACCTGAATGACAGATTTTCCAACCCCCCGCTCCTCCGGGTCCAACCCTTACATAATGTCATACTTACTTTAACTCGTGAAATTCCTCGGCCATTAAAGGGAGTACTAATGCACCCTGGGATTTCGGGTGCATATATATGAAATAACTTCCGGGCCCGGGCAGAATGTCCCGGGGGCTACTCCCCTATATAAGCCATATAGGTATGTGCCGCCTTAAGGGTGGTTTTTGCGCCGTCTGAAATCGGGTATGGTTTTCGATAGAATTACGGCAGTATATGAACGTATTTATCGTTTCAATTCAAAATAAGTAAGGAAGAAAGAGAAATATGCGAATTGGAAATGGAATTTAAGAAATTTTTTTTGTTCCTGTTCTATCTAAGTATCTAAGCAGGAGCCCATCAAATTTGATGGGCTCCTGATCTAAGTAATTAATTAGATGCCAGGTCCGAAAACGGGTATGGATTTTACAGGCCAGGTCTCAAAACAAGTGTGAAAAATGACATTTTTTTGTCTGGAAAAGGGTCAGGATTTGGAGAACCGGGCGGCACACCTCCACCAAGAATTCCCAGGAGTACCAACCCCCCCCCCCCCCCCCCCCCCCCCCCCCCCCCCGGCAATCGAGCCCCCGCCCGCCGCGCCGTCGGGGGGGGGGGTGACCGAGCGCCCGCGCGCGCACAGACAATTTTAACAAAATAGCACATAACTTCGAAAGTAGGAGTAGAAACAAGAACAACACCCACAACATACATCTAGTAACGTAAACAATTCCCCCCCCCCCCCCCCCCCCCCCCCTTCCGAGCGGAAAGTTTGAGCAAGGGCCCTGCGTGAATCGTGTGTTGGCGATCATACCGCGAGCGGGCGCCAATTTAATAAGACTTTTACAAGCGTAAATTACATGTGTAGCCATGGTCTGAAAACAATGGCCACACTTGCAAATTATACGTGTAAAAGTTTTATAAAATTTACCCCGGGACTTAAGTTTTTTTGTTTCTTGGATCTTCCCCTTCCCAAAACGACAAAATTGAGCTTTTTTTCGGTGAGATTTAGCAAGTACGGAAGGAGTTTTAACTAGCAAGAAGGGCGTACAAGTCCAAGCGAAAGCAAATAAGGTTACCCTCTTTCGCTCTCGCCACTTATTGCGTTTTGCTCGCATCCAGAAACGCTTTCTATTAGCACCCACAGCTACACTCGCGGTGATGCTGGACCAACACCCTTAGTACCCTCAAAGCCCTCAAGTATACCTGTTATACCTGTTTCTTACATCATAGGTTTAAAATATTGGCCCGATGGTCTGTATGGCCTTCCCATGGCTGCTAGTGGCTGTCCGAATGATCCTTCTGTAAACTGGAGATTGGGTACCCTGTACCAAGACTGTGAAGACACGGATCCGGAAACCCATCATTCATTCAGCTTCAATTTAAAAGCTTCTATAATACAAGGCGATGTTGAGCGGTCGTTTTGCATGAAAACTACCACTTTCTTCGATTCAAGAAGAAAAGCGTGGCCTCCTGGAAAATACTGCATCTATCTCTCAGGAAGGTCATGTCCTTTGGGAATGACTGTAGGTTGGATTGTGTGGGATGACGAAAATGCTTCTATACCTGGAACAAGCAACAGAAACCATCGCAATGGTACCTTGCCAGCTGGACAGTACGACAGCAATACGTGAGTACCTTAAAAATAATAGTCCTTCCCAGTTTTTTCCTTTCCTCCCAATACCCTACCCATTTCGACGCCTGCTAGTAAGTTAGGCAAAAATATGGTTTTTAAAATAGTGCTTACAGGTTTTCAGGACATCCTTGTAGAGCAGTGGCGGATCCAGGGGAAGGGGCGGGGGGCCCGGCCCCTCCTCCCTTAGTTTTAGACCAAATTCAGGCCCGGAGGGCCAAAACAATTTTTTTTGGAGACCAGACTCCCCTTATCTAAGGGTCTGGATGAGCTGGCCCCCCCTTATCTCAAGGTCTGGATCCGGTACTGTAGAGTACCAGAGACACGCTTAAACTGGGTAAGGTTTTGATCATGCGTTTGACATAGGCACAGGTAAAGCAAATAAATGTGTGAGTGACTTAAACTGAGGTAAAGCAAATTATGCGACCGAACTGCGGGCCCTACAATCGACTACGAGACACATGTTCAAACGGCTCTTGCTCAAGTTCCCCGCCCGTGGCCCAGTAGACGGACGCTGCATGGTAGTTTCGATGCCGATGGTATCAGTACTCTTTGAGTTCGTGTAAAATTGACTGTTTCACAGTTTTGTCTTCACATCTGACTTGTCGTCCGTACGGTGGAATTCCTGCGCTCGTTCCTGCAGGCGTCATTTCACGGGGATACCAAAGGTGGCGACGCGAAATGTCGGTTGTTTTCTCAGGCTGCCCAAATAGTAGACTTGCTACAAGTCGACCTCTTGGCGAGCGGAGCGCGCCTTTTTTAGCTAGGCCGCGAAGCGGCCGACCGAGCGACGAAGTCGCGAGGGGTTCCGCGCCATCTTAAATCCGGCGATGGACTTTTTTGAAAGTCTACTTAAATAGAACCCTGACAAAATCAAGGATTCAACTATAATGCGACGAGTGGACTAACGCCCTATAAAAGAGAGGTCCAACTATACAGCTGGATGGTTTTTTGATTGGGAGCTTGTCAGTAATATATGATGATGTTGGATGATGATTGAAAGTACCAGTTAACTTGTGAACAGCTTCCCGTTTTGGTGTAAGGGGGGGTTGAAAAGGGCGAGCAGACGGCAAGGGAAAAAATGAAAGAGAGGAAGTGTGGAAGTAATGTCATTTTCCACTTCGTAGTCCCTCGCTCTATACTACTTTCCCTTTTTACCGGTATGCGTTACAACAGGATACAAAAAGTAAACTCCAAAACCCGTGTGCGACCAAACCTGGACTGGACCCTGGTCAGGGATGTATTCACAGAGCAACGTATAAAATGACGCTTAATTTACTAAATGCTTTGCGACTCTTCAGAGTGGGCAGATCTCAATGCTAGAAATCAGTTTCCGGGACTTTCGCTCGTCCTTCTAAAATAGAAGTCGTTTATTAATGGCTGATACCCAACTCGTCAATAAAGACTGACCTTGCCTGTGAGCTAAATCAAAGCTCTTTGCTGTATTTTTCATTTCTTTTCATTCGGCACCATATCAATTGCAGTTAATACTTTTAATCAAACAGCCTTATCTACTACTGCTGCAGTACAAGTGGTTCGGCCCAATACCCTATCAGCCTTCCGCTGGAGTCACCGTTCTATCTTATAGCGTACGGTACGAGGACATGCCAGGCGGTAAGGGGGGCCAAATCAATCTTGGAGTATATTTACTACGAGACAGAAATTTTCACACTCATGTCTATGGACGATTACGGCGGAGCACATCCATATGGTGTTGCAAAGGGCGGGAAGGGACACGTGATCTTCTACTGTTATTATACCCGTAAGTATATATTTTTTAGAAAGTTAATGGCCTCAACCAACTGAATATATTTTCCAGTGAATACAATGAAGCGAAATTATGTCCAAGGTACACCCAGCCATCGCACTAGACTACGCGCAGTTTCTCTTTTTCTTCAGATTTAGTAAGGGGAGTGCACGCGCGCCGAGTGTTGAGCGGCGAAGCCGCGAGACGCGAGAAACGAGGGTGGCAAGAAAGTCTTGGATTCTGCATTCCAATCGTAATCGAGATTCCAGATTCCTTGAGCTGAATTCCGGATTCCAAAGCCTAGGATTTCGGATTTGACGAGCAAAAATTTCCGTATTCCGGAATCTGGATTGCCTAAAAGGCGGCGACTCTTCAAATTAACCGGGATGAAAAGTGAATAAGCTTACCTTCACTACTCAATTTGTGCGCTGATTCAAGGTCCTAATTACAGCTAGCAAGATTCTTGGACTTGCTTTGTAGCTCCGCCTCAATCTATCTTATCCCTATTGAGACAACTACATACGCTATGGAGAGACATTGGCCGTATTTATACTAGAAGACGTCTTAGACGTCCAGACGCATTAAACGTCTGACTGTTAAGTGCGTCGTTAAGTGCGTCTTGTTTTTATACTAGACGTCTTAAACGTCTGAGACGAATAATTCATCTGTTCGACGCACTTAACCTCAGACGTTTTATTCGCCTGACGATTAATACGTCTGCCTTATTTCCCGTGTTTATACTAAGTCGTCTAAGACGTCTTAGACGTCCTCTAGTATAAATACGGCTATTAATATAAGACTCGGTTATTTGTTTATTGTGTCTAGGTTTACAACTTTCTACACCTATTGAACTGTACATTTGTTTTTCTAGGGTAGAGACTGAGTCTGATCATCATCATACTTTTAATTATTTTTCCTTTTCTTTTTGTTTGTTTGTTTGTTCTTGCATTTTGTTTCCTGGTGAAGCTATATACTGCCCTCCACTGAAACGCCCTGATAATGGAAAGCTGAAACCCTTTCACTGTGGTGAGAGAAATAACAACAAATTCAACGACACCTGTTCAGTAAGTTGCAATCCTGGGTACATACCCGAAAATCCCGAGGGCCAAGTAACCACGTGTTTAGAGAATGGAACTTGGAGTAACCCATCCCTCACTGGCTGCAAACGTAAGATAGTGTTCTTTGTTACATTATATGATGGACTTAAGGGGTAAAATCAACACCTTGTTCTGATTAGTCTTTTACTGTATGGGTTTTATTAGTACTAGACGTTCGCGTATCTTGAGTTGATAGCCACTGGTTTTAAAGTGAACTTGGAATCGATACCTTTCTTGGAACTGAAATTTTCTTTGAGTGTTGCTGCGTGCCGTTTTCGTTTGGCGATGATCACCGTTGTACCAACGAAAACGTCTGGGAAACGAGGATTTAAATATAATAATTATCAGAAGCGTTTTTTGAAGAGGGCGTGGGGTGGAGGGTGATCCTGTTACATTGCGATGATAACGATGATGATGTTGATGATGATGACGAAGACGATGATGATCAGGGTTGATGCTAATGATCACTTTTTAGTTTTATTTCTCATAACTTATTGCTTTAATGAATGTTTTTCAGGTTCTTTTCAAAACATTACAACATCGCCAGTTACAAAATACCGAATAACGTCTTCAACGCCAGTTTTGACTTGGACACAATCACCTTTACAGACCACAGCGTCCATACCTCTAAATCTCAGTACCACGTCTTGTTTTGTATCGCCTCCCAGGGTCACCGTCAGTTCAAGCGTCATTCCAGTTTCCCGCGCTTCATCTCTGTGGAGTAGCACCACACCATCCCCTACTCTACCCTCTGTTGGTAGTAGTATACCGCCCGTCGAGGAGGAGGTTGGGTCATCGCATAATACCCTACAAGAAACTAATTTCTTGATCGGAGCGGTAGCTGGTGGTGCACTACTCTTGGTGATCATAATTCTATCGCTTGTTATTCGAAGGAGAAGGTAATAAAAATTTCACAAAAATGTTAAAATTAGAAAAGTTATAGGGGGAGGATTTTAGAGCGGCATGAAACTTTTTCGTTTACATTTCCATTATATGATTTTTATTAGACCAGTGCATGGATATTTTTAAGGTTTACTAAGCGTGCATAATTTTTTTTACTGAATTTTCCCTTGCACGAAAGTTTTTTTGTACTTCTTCCCCCCCCCCCCTCCCCCTCCCCCACTTCCATAAGTTTTCTAATAGTATAAACATATATAGCTTAAGGCCACTATTTAAATCAGAAAGATGTGAATATCATTATCCCTCAGAAGATAACCTTAACTTTTTCTTATTCTTCATAAATAATTCTCATGATTCTCTTGCAGAGCCCAAAGTGCCACACCGCGCAGAGGAACGGGTGTAAAAGTGTATATGAGGCAAGTACAAATAATCATTATCCAGGTTTATCTATCGGACATGTATAGTGTGGTGCCTTCGTTTCTATAGCGTTCGTTTCCTTTGTTTCAAACTCGTCATGTTACAATACATATGATGAAATTTAAACCAAAAATAAAATTGAACCACAACAAAAACGTTCGTTATTGTAAATTTTTACTTAATCTTAGCAGGCGGTCAACATTCATAGTTATGATACAGAGTACTTTTACCCTCTGACGTCAGAGGTTTTCCAATGTCCGCCCCAAAATTTACAGCGGTATTGCGATAAAAAGTTTATTTTTAGACGTCATGTGACCTGTAAGTAACCAATTAAAGGGCATGGTTTTGAGAGAAAAAATCCACTATAAAAAAGTACTGTCTACTTAGTCATTGCATCTTCGAATTTCCTGGACTGCATACAACATATTAGGTATTTTACTTTGGTATGATTTGACCAAACACCAGGACGAAAGCCTGCGTAGCTGGCGCTTTTCGTTGGGAAGGGACGGGGCTCTAGGGGGAGTCGCTATTGATCGCCAGCAAGAGGCGAAGGGGCGAGAAGAATGGGGCTGAAATCGGCTTCCCCGCTTGTTTGCGTAGATTTCGTGTGCACCTTCCGTTAACTCATTCTTTTTCGCTTTTTTGTTTTCTTTAAAGCGAGATTGAAGAGACGTTTACGATGAACAATCTATATTCTGATAGGTTTGTAAAAACTCAGTTCTTTAAATTGCCCGACTGCAGGCAGCTTGAATAGTAAATTCAGTCCAGTATGTTCCAGTTAGCTTGTGGTTTCCTTCTAGGTCGCGATCTCCCTGTAGCTTCGGGCTACAGGAATAGTTACCTTGAAAGTGTTTGTTATACCCTCGTCAAGTATTATCAAGGACCAATTCATCAGTTCGCACGTCTTGTTCCCTCCTTTTTTGTTATTTAACTCGTCTGAAACGTCTCAGCACCCAGTGTTGTTATAAAGTTAACTTACAGATGTTATTTGGTTTTCTTCAGCGAATTCATTCATAAGCGATCTTCAGAGGAAAACCTACTACACGATAGGTCAGTTATTGTGCTTATATTGAATTTGTTTTTTTTTCTTTTTTCCCTTGAGCAAATTAAGACCATGCAATTAACATATTACTAACATTACTAGCTAATAAAAGATTCCTTTTTTTCTAGTTGTACTGCAAGAACAGTTGAGTATGAAGACAAGGCAGCAGAAAATCTGCTGTACGAAAGGTACTTAAGTTCTGCATCAAAGTTATGAGTAAGAAAAATAATCCCTCACGACTATTTTTAAAAAGAAAAGAAAAACTGGTAAATCGGCAAAAAAAAAAGCCAAGGAAGGCTACATTCACACTACAACGGGCGAATTTTTCGATCGATTGAAAAACAACTTCGTGCCTTTAGGTGTTCTGTGTGAACGAAGTCGGGTCCGCCGGTCAAAGTTTTTAGCCAGTCGAAAAAATTCATCCTGTACCGTCGCGTGTGGACGTAGCCTAAGTAAAATTTTCTTAAAAAAAGGTACATATCAACAAAAACCTGAGAAAAGCACAGAAAATTGTGTCTAACACAAACCGAGTTTGAAAGGAAGAATTCTAGCCTGCGTAGCTGGCGGGATTAGCGGGAGTGCTGTAGCCAGGGCGGATAAAGGTTGGGCGGTGAAACGAGCGCGTCCGAGCAAAAAGGTGTGATGCAGTGGACTGGGACTCTGCTTAGAAATGTCGCTTGTTTTCGACTTCGGTCAGGGCTTGCGATGTGGTTTGTACATTAAACACTGCTGCTCTCACTGAATTATGGCAGTTTGATTTGTTTTCTTGCACTTCTTCCTCGTTCCTTTTTGCTGGTACGCTGTCTCCGAGAGGCAAATGTTGCTATTTTTTGCGGGAGGTTTAGTTGGAGGAGACAAACATCTCTTTCAAAGGGTTTCTTTTATTACTTCCATGACTCTACCACTGAATTATATTTTCGTTCTGCTACTCGCCAATGTCGATGTTATTCCAAAACAAAAACAACTAAGTATTGTCTAAAACACGAAGGAAAATCTCATCCATGTCATCCATGGCAAAACTAAAAGACAGCAGATCGTTTTTCATAGCTAGATGACGTGTATTTTATAAATGCGTGCAGCTCGTGCAAGGTGAAATTATGGTAATTTCAATCACTATCATCCGTTGTTTTTAATTTTGAAAAAAACATCTCATACGTCTTTCTGTTTCTTCGAAACTTCAAAATTAGTTTCCCCTCAGTTTTTACTGTTTACCTTGTTTTGTTTTAGAGAGAAAAACGGAGAAAAAACCTTACAACCAACCTCAATAAATTTTGTTTACATGCGGTTGCCGGATTTGCAACGCATTGCGCGAATCGCCATGGCGCGTTGCACCCGAGAAGCAAAGTTTGAAGAAGTAAAACGCCACTATATCAATATATATCAATCTAATTTTTTGTTATGTTATACAAAATTTATCCCCCTTTAACATATGTAAAAATTGAGGTTAAGAAGTGTTAAGCTTTTGCAAACGAAACAGCGAGAGACGATTAGGTGATATTTAGTGGAAGGAGGAGGTATTCAACACTTTCAAATTAAACTCAAATTTTGGCATTATACGACCAACAAGTTTGACTTATAGATGTACAGACACAAACATATGAAACTGTTTATTGATATTGTTATGAAACGAATTTATCTATTTAACACTGAAGCCTGAAATTACAGAAAGAAAATAGGATTTCCGGTTTGCAAAAAGGAAAATTTCGCCAGCCTTCAAGCGCACCGGAAGCGCGGAAAGAGCGCTCGTGCCAGTCCTACTCCGCATCACACATTAAATGAAGAGCGGAGCGCTCGTTTCACCGCCCAACCTTTATCCGCCCTGGCTGTAGCTTTTTGGCGGCGGAGCCGCGTAAAGATTGGGAGCAAGTGTGGTCAAACGCGGATCTTCCCTCGCCGGTAGCCTGAATTTTGTCCGATTGCTTTGATCGTTTTCTCCTCTCAGTTACTGAGGGAGAAATAATGACTGGAAGTAATCGGATGAAATTCAGGCTACATCGCCGGTCGTTTCGAGTGGCGGCTCTGCCGCTCAGAAAGTTAGTACCCCGGGCAAAAGAATGCCGCTACTTACATGTACGGGATTTCACACATTTAAACTGCGGGTGAAGAACTAAATGCAAAGGAGATCAATGCAGTTTAAGAAGCAACCTATACCGTGGGGTAAAATAGCCGGAAAAAATTCAGGCTTGCCAGGATTCGAACGCTGACGTCTGCAATACCGGGGCATGCAGCGCGGCTCTAACCACTTGAGCTAGCACGCTACCGGGAACTAGTTATATTATTGGTTCGTACTATACCCGGGAGAGATGAAGATGAAATCGATGAATGTTTGAATTTCAAATATTATTAACCTGACAGATATGAAATCTACGTAACCCTATAAAGCATGCGCAAAAATATTTAAAACAGATGACAAGGAGACCTTGTTACTGCTACAGTGTATTACTATAGAACTTTCTTTTTGTTGAAAAGGTAACGGCTCAAATTGTTTTGATATTATTAGCTGTGGGACTCGCTTCTCTGTTACAAAAGTTGAAGATAACGTTCTTTACGAGAGGTAAGAAATACAAGTAATATAATGTAAGCTTTCAACCACTAAAAAAATCCAAAACACCTTTATTAAAATATTGAAGACGAGTGGGACCATGCAAAAATCCTCCAGAGAGGGGTTTCATTGGAAGTCAACTGGTTTTTTTTCCAGCTCAAAATTAAGAATTGTCTAATATGTTTCCTAAATTGACTTTGAGATCTCCCATTGACCAAAAATTAGATAAGAAAAATACCAAGTAAAAATCTCGACATTTGTTTCACTTTTCAATTTGGGACGTAAAAAAAGTCGAAGAATTATTACGCTTTCTTTAACGCAGCTTGCTCCACTGATTCATACTAAACAACCAAAATTTGTGGCCGTGATACAAGTTTGTCAACAAGAATGAATTGCCACCTTTTAACTTCTTAGACTTCTAAATCTTAGAAGATATTAAGCAATTAACTAATCCTTTCTGAATTCAGAATACTTAAGGATATGTTGTTGTTAATTGTTTTTGTAGCCTGTCATTCCATGAAAGCCAAGACGAGAAGGACTCGGAAACACTCCGTCATCATTTCTATAAAACAGTCACATGATTGAACTACGCCTTTTGTCTCGTTTGAAGAGCGTCAACCTTTGGATACAAATATGTCATTTTGTGCGTAAAATTGCGTGCTATAAATATTCCTTTATACAGAGAAACATTATACCAGTTGTTCCGTTTCGGATCTGTACCATACTTATTGACTGTTTTCATAAAAAACGAACAAACAAATACTAGACGCGCAGAGGTCAATTTTTAAGAATTCCATTTCTCTTTTAAGTCCACCTAACTTTATTCTTTTACCAGACTTTACTTTGTCACAATTATCTACCAGTCTCTTTGTCCCTGGAGAAAGAAAGCCCTCACACTTTCCTAAATTCTACCTGCTTAATAAGGAAACTCCGTTAATATGGACACCTTCTATGGCCTTCTCAGTGTCCAGTGTCCGTATCAACGAAGTTTAACACTGTACTGACTTGAAAGGCTTTTCTAAAAAGCAATATCACACATAATACTGTATTCAATGGATGCAAAATATTGATGCAGGATGACTTTACATTAGGATATTATCTTAAGTGAGTCTCAAGTTCCCTGATTAGATGGATAAGACAAAGGTTTCTTTCTGTTTAAAGAACTTGAAGTGTTTGGTTGTTGTAAAAGAGAAGTAGTCGTTCCAGACTACTTTGTTCACATGTGTTGTAACGCTTTATAAACAAGGCATGTATATGACAGTAAGATGATGGGTTTTTTACATGCATTATTAAGCCGGGGCATTAAGGCCAACATAATGGTTGCAATATAATATTGCACAGGGCATTATTTCCTTTGACTTTTCTACAATGCATTGCAACATTACATGCAACGTAATGTATAAATTTGCTGAGTGGCTAACAGGCATCGTTAGCTTTTTTTTAGGCAGCCTTACATTTGATGAGAAATAAATAAATTACCAGTTAAGATTGAAAAAGATTGCTCTCATTGTTGAAGATAATTTGTAGACAAGGAAAGTCAAAGACTCTATTGCTGCAATATTGCACACAATATGATCAGAGGTTGGCACACAAGGCCGTTTAGCTGTATCATGCAATATTGCCCCAATGATTTACCATGTGTCTGGGCCTTTACGTCAACTGAACTTTGCCCACGAAGAAATAAATACTCCTCATAGTGCTGACGATTCATTCTCCTATAAACCAAGTTTCTCAGCTTCTTTAGCCTCAAAGAAGGTGTATGATAGTGTAATGGTGTCCACTTTGGCCATAGCTGGGTCCTCTGTAAATTCAGGGTCAATGTAAAAAAACACAGGCATGTCAACCTGCCAAGAAAAAAAAGAGAAACAAAGAATATGACTCGTGTAGTACTTAAAAGCAAGGAAGTCACTATGATTTCAACTTAACTAGTACAGGCAATTATCAGTAGGTGAGGAATTTTCTAGCTTGATTGGTTTTTGCCTTTGCTTCCAATTAAAGGAATGAGGGTCATCCTCATAGTAGCCAGGGGAAATCCTTGGTTCTCAGCCCTTAGTGACAGCCCTGCTCCAGGGTCATATTCAAAGACTGAGTCTTCTTTTTCCCACAAGCATGCCAGAATCTGTCTCTAAGCCACAAGATTTGTGAGCTGGTCTTGCTTTTCTTAATCATTAATTACTGCCTAATCAAGTATAAAGCTGAAGAGAATAAATGTAATGCAGTGATTTTGTTACCTCTGCATCCTGCGTCCCTGATGCATAAAAATTCCTTAAGACGCAAAATAATTCATGGCATGCGTTTCATAGGACGCAAAGATCGGTCAACCAATCTGAAGATGTGTTTAGAATATCCTGTTCGTGTAATTTCTGTGGCAGTTATTATGGCTGTTGTTTAACATTGCATATTTCTTTCAGCCTTTGTTGTACTAAAAAATTATAGAAGGACTATATTTTTAATTTCAGTATGCTGTAATACAGAGTTTTGGAGTCACTCTTCATAACTGTCTGGTTACATAAAGGCTCTAGCATTTTCAATGTGGACTTATTCTTTTTTTTTACTGGGACTCTGGACTCGGACTCATGATTTTTCACAAGATGACTCCCAGGACTCACCATACTTTTTTGTAACAAAATCACTGGTAATGATGAGCCAAAAAAAGTCTCTCCTCATCAGTACAATAGAAAATTGTTTAAGTGTTAAAGTGGCATGCAAGGGCTGTAGCATAACAGCTGGGAAGACAAGTGATTTTCCTTTTCTATGTTGTACATCTATTCGTTTCATTGTGGTGGCACGCTGCTAGACCAACTGCCTTCATTCCTTTGCTACTGGAAAAATAAATTGCCCTATCTTTTCTCAAAGTCTCTGTAAAGCCCTGCATGACAAGAGAAAAGTTTTGTCTTACAACTGTACAATGTACCTGTTCATGTGGATTAAGCCTCTGTTCCTCAAAGCAAAAACACTATGAACATAAGAACACATTCATGAGTAGCGCATTTCAACTATCAAAAACAAAGTTTTTTGAGATGCTTCATCACAGAAAAGGTCTCTCTTAATCCCCAAAAAGATCATAAAAGGAAAATGTATCATTCTGTTACAGGTCAGGTTAAAATTATTTAACCTAGGTTGAATCTCCATTTCCTTTGTTTCCTGGCCTTATTTATTCATGCATTAGGGCTAGGAGACAAAGAAAATTAAGAATCGACCTTGGTGAAATGGTCAAATCAAAATTAACCTGAAATCAAATTTGACCCATAAAATATCTACTGGTACATTCTTTTAAAATGATGATGATTATAATAATTATTATTATCACAATAATGTTGATACAGTCAACTCTCTCTAAGACAGGCATCTTTAGGACCGGCACTAAGTGTCCATCTCAGAGAGGTGCCCGTCTTATAAAGAGTCAAATAAAGGGAGTAAAGAAAGGCAGGGACCAACTCTAAGTGTCTGTTTTACAGAGGTGTCCATCTTAAAGAGGTGTCTGTTAAGAGAGAGTCGACTGTAATGATGATGATCATTATTACTATTATTCACAAAAATCAACTTAAACATGATAACATAAAATGTCTTACTTGGATTTTGTTGAAATATTGCCCAGCCTCAAAAGGAACCACATTGTATGTAGAGATACCAGTTATTGGCTCATCAGTTGGATTTGTAGCAGTGTAAAATGCAAGAGCTGTCTCTCCTGGGGCAACCTGCAAGAAATATCACTCAGTGAGATCAAGTAAATAATAGCCAAGCCGGGAACTCCTCCAGATTAATGAGGGTCAAAGGACAACAGGGACAGTGAATTAGGTGTAAAAAATTGCGAAAAAAATTAATACATTTCCTGGGAGCAGAGCAAGCACTAGAAAAGTAATATTTTCAAATAAAGAAAGAAGAAAACAGCTGATATTACTAGTTACGACAAAAGGAAGAAGGAATTTAAGAAAAAAATTCATCCAATAATATTAACAAAGATGTTGAGCAAACCAGATAGCCTGCATAAAATTGCTTTTTAGTAATAAATAACTGATTTAATATCAAATTATTGGATGCTACTTCCACAACTCACCTTGACAGCAGTCTGTTGAGGCCTAAAGTTCCAGCGCATTGCACCACTCTTATCAGCATTAAACCTGATAAGCAGCTCTCTCTCAGGTATTCTTTCCATTTGTTCGATCTTCTCTCCTGCTTCTTCTCTCTTTACAGTTCCACCTAATCCTGTTGCCTAAACATACACAAGAAGAAGAGGCATGAGGCATGAGGCATGGAGGCTGAAAGATTAACCCTTCAAACTTAGGATATATTAGCCTGCACCAGACAAACAAAACTAAACCTCTGGATTAGACTGTCAGTGAGCGAGTCCTTGAATCCCTGTTCTGGTCTCTCGACTGTGTACCAGAATTTGAGTACCCACCATGGCTGACCTGTTAAAAAGCCACGTGAATCAGGTTGAAGGGAAATTCGAAATGCACTTTGGGCAATGAACGAGTCTGTTGAGGGACTAGAACAAGGATGTTGGCACTGCTTTGCAGACATTACTAACAAGTGCAAGATAATGTCTGCTATGCAGACTAAGAATCTACAGGTCTAGTTCGAACTTTGCCATCACATTTTGGCAAACTGACTGGTCTGGTCAGTAATCAGTGACACTAGTCAATTCAGGAGAAAATGGGATGACATACTCAGTTAAAACAAATTTTCCAACCGGACTGAAGCATTTCATTTAAGTTTTAACTAAAATTTTGATTACTTCTCAGCGGGACTAGAAGCAGGAATAATTTTTGGACGTGAAACAGTAATTTTCAGTCAGGCCAGACCAACCAGTCAAAGAAGAACACCTCCCAGAAAATTTTAACCAGGCCCAAGTTTTTTTAAAGGTGGATAACTCTATCCACTGGATAAACCTCTACCCAGTGGATCACGCAATTATTGGTTTCCTAATAATCATCTGCTGGATAGGGATTTATCCAGTGGATAACTCTACCCAAGGTTTGATTTTTGCAGATTAATTATTTGCCCCAGCCTTCGACTTCGGCAAATATTATTGATCTGCGTGCCACTGAAAAATCACGATATTTTACTCAACATCTTCCAATAATTGCCAATTATTACATAACTTACCTGGCAAAAGAGACGATAAAGAGGAACAGCAAGGTAAGAGAGTCCCACCACTGTTATTACCAATGCAATCACATATATGGCTGTTGTACTGTTCCGTGTATTAAAAGCAAGCGAACTCTTATAACCTGCACGTGTCCCTACAAAACGCCGTGTTCCATAGTACATCAAACTTGAGTCAAATGTTATCAGAGGTAGCTTGGCTCCATACAAAGCACTACTCGTTTTATTAAGATGCTTAAAGCATCTGGAAAAAATCGTTCTTTGTTGAATACCGAACTGCAAAATTCGCGATGAATTGTAAACATATCGTGAACTTAAACTCCATGAAAATCTCGAATTCCGAAGCCGAAGAAAAGAGTCCTGATAGAGAGTCCTTTGAGACCGGGAAGCGACTCGAAGAAGCGACCACAGCATGAGAAGATTCTGGGATAATTCACTCTGCAAAAATCAGTAAATTAAAAGCATCGATGACCTTTCCTGTGGTGAGTGTTCCTTAAAGCGTTCTTGAACAATAAACCTACAAACATGTCCTAAAATGCGCTGTGACGAAGAAACTCGTCGGCCATCTTGCCTGTTAGGGTAAAGGAGACTGGGACGAGAAAAAGTCGATCCCGTACCCAGACCCCACGCGACGCGCTTTTTTCTCCCCCGCAGATCCTGGAAAATTGATCCTGGATATAGGCTCGATTTCCATCGTCTCCCTGGCCTCCCACGCAGGTGTTTTAAGGGGAGCTCTTTTTTCATCCCTCCTCACTCCTCCTCCTTTCATTCCTCCCTGGGGAGGAATGCAAGACGAGTCCCCTAAAAACGCCTGCGTGGGAGGCTACCGTCTCCCGGGTCCAGTCTTTCATCCTCGTCGAAGAGAGAGGAGGCGGGGGGAGGGGGGGAGGAGTGCGGTCTCATTTTTCCGAACAGCGGTTGGTAATCGAGCCTAGGAGGGCCGGGCAGTACAGGAGTAATCTGAAATGAGTAGTCAGCCTTCTCTCTCTCTGGCGCCCCCCCCCCCCCCCCCCACTCAACGGGGGGGGGGGGTGTGCATTGTATTCTTTTTTCTCTTTTTTTTCCACACTTTTTTTTTTTTTTTTTGGGGTGGGTTTGGGGGGGTGTAGCCTGAGGAAGGGGTGAGGGTGGTTAGTTCTTTTTGCATAATTTTTGTGTAAAAACATACAACATACAACTATTTTCACTTATCCACAAACAACCCACCACCCACACCCCCCACACACAACACCAACCAACACCCACCCCACCCCCACCGATAATCAAAATTTTTACTCATTCCCTCTCTTCGCGGGGGCCGGCGCCGGGGGCCCCGGCCGCCCCACGGCGGCATCGGGGAGGGGGGGGGGGGGGGGGGGGGGGGGGGGGGAGGGGGGTTCTTTTTTTTCGAAAAGCGGGTGGTAAACGGGGCCAGGAGGGGCGGGGGGTACAAGGGGAATATTAAAAAATTAGTAGGCCTCCTCTCCCTCTGGGGCCCCCCCCCCCCCCCCACAAGTTAGGAGGAGGAGACTGGCTTACATCAGTTTCTCTTCTTTAGATATTCCCTGTATTTATTTACTTCTTTTGGGGGTTAAGAAGGTGGGGCTAACCCGAGAGCGAGTGGGGTTTGTGCTAACTAGTTGTCACTATTTTGGTGTAAACTGCAAACAGGGCCTTCCAGATGGGAATGAGGCGAGAAAAGGGCCATTTATAGGAGGAATAAAAGACGTATGTCATAGAAAGGCATAAACTTCTCGTCTAAAATAATGGCACAAAAAGTGACTTCGCAGCTTTCATAAGATGTAACTTATAATATGCAACATAATATCCTTGTGTAAATGGCACAGTTCGGGTCTTATTAATATGTGTCTTACTTTTCCCTGTATGAATAGCACTAACAAGAATACTTTTAAGGTTGCTAGAATGTCATCTCAAGAATAAACACATTCCAGTAATGTTTAATATATGAAACTTTATTTACAATATACTATAATGCAATTTTTAATAAATACAATATTGATACTACTATTGTACTTATATAAATAACTATGGAACTCTGCAACTTAGACTAGCTGAGGTGTGGTTTCGTTTTGTACAGGGATAAAATAGGGACATGTTTTCTCCTAGCTGGCCATCATAATAATAAAAGCTGTAATGCTGTCTAAAATTCAACTTTAGATTACTTTATAGTATTTTTGAGAGCACTGAAGTTATTATTTATAAAAGCAATAGCAAAATTTTTGCTATGACCATGTTTATTCAGCCCGGTATAAACACCAAGAAGTTACACAAACCTTGACTACTTCTCAAGTTTGCATAACTGTCCCCTGATAATGAGGGCGAGTTATTTCAGCTATGAAATATTCTCTAAAACACTACACATTATTTCATCTTCTCTACTGAACTCTATCTCATCTGCACTATGCTTTTTTGATTCATCAACCTGCAAGGACAAAAACATGATATCAAGTATTTTTTGATTGTAATATCATAGGTGACGAATTACTCCTTAATTTTGGCTCGAAATTTCAGCGTTAATTTGTAATTTCACAAATGAAATTACAAAATTGCCATGGCAACCTTCCATACGTCTGAGTGTCAAGATGGCGACGAAGTTTTAAAATGTCATGAATGAAGATGTCAGGGTACAAAAAGATGCACATCAAGAAGGATTCTAACAGGTATTTTGTCGAAAAACTCTGAACTTAAGCCAAATTTAAGCTCTAAACGTTCGAGTGCAGGAGCTCTCGATCGATACGATCCAGGATAAACATATCAAAAATCCAAGATTGCTAAGGTAATTCGTCACCCATGATATTAATAGGTAATCAAAATTGGTATACTCGTGAAATTAGGGAATAATTTCACTTGCGTTTTGTCCAAATCCTAATAAGTTAGGATTTGGACAAAACACGCGTGAAATTATTCCCTAATTTCACTCGTCACCATTTGATTACACATACTAATAATTTCATGACTAGACTCAGTCCGATAGCTATTTTCATACTTAAAGAGTCAATTATGCAATTTAAGATCCAGGGAAAGAGAGATGATGACATCGAACAACATTTCAACAACCTGTGTGGAAGTCATCATCAGAGAATATTGATAATGTAGGCGATGACACTGGGAGTCCTCCCTACCCTATTAGTATAGGTAATAGCATGATCTGTAGTGATATCTGGCATAAATACCGCAAGTGATATTTCGAAATTGTTATATGTAATTTCACGAGCCGTTAGACGAGTGAAATTTGAGACAATTTTGACATATCACGAGTGGTATTTATGCCAAATATCACATACAAATCATGCTATTATTTGTTTATACTACTACCTGCAAAAGGTTTGTAATTTTCCCATGTAGGTATTTCAAATTAAGCTGAAATACCAGTGCTCTAAGCCAATCAAATTGCAGTAATTTTTCATGTAGTAGTATAAAGCCATTATCCATTAAGCTCTTCGATATTACGGTAAACAATATTAATCTGTGTTAAGAAATAGCAGTAAATTTTGAAATAAACCCCAATCAGTACTGTACCTCCATTTGTTCATATGAACCGTCTTGTTGGCAAGAGGCTAACTGTAAGGAAGAAGCACATGACTGCAGCATTGCAGTTACTCTGTCCAAATGTCTGAAAAAAATGAAGTGTTATCATGATTTATATTCCTTGATAAAGGGGTACAAGGGTTGTGTCCAGCCCTGAAATCCAGCCCCCAGAATTTATAAAGAATTATAAACATGTCTAAAATGGGATGACCTAAATTGTTCAAGGTAGATATTACAGCTGTAGGTTATAGAAAGTCAAACACTACATCAGTATAATATTCATCTACCCACCCCCGCCCCCCCCCAAAAAAAAAGACTGTGTAAAAGAATATTCATTTTTACTGCTATACCAAAGTATTTTATTCAGACTTAAAAGTTAATGTACATTATAACATCATTGCTTCACTGATTACCCTGGGATTGAAGGTGTCAAAGAACACCGAGCAAAACACGGTACTCTTTAACAAGTAACATACTAAAAAGCAACTCAAAAAGTATTGGTTTTAAATCACTTAAGGTATTAGATCTGCTATTAAGCCCTTCATTTCAAAACTTTATTTCTCAAATAATTATAAAGAATTTCCCCAAATAAAAATTACATAAAGCTATCAAGGTAGACCTGAGCACCTACATGTAAGGTGTGATTTCCGATTTATATCGCAGCCTCAAAAATCAAGGATTGCATGTTTCTGTCTTTCTCTTGATAAATAGGAGTAAACAATAAATTGGAACTGAATTATCCTTAGATTGGTAATTTACCTTTAATATCCTGCCATTGATCATCAATTTTTCCTTGAGATATAAAGGTGAAATTTTTTGGTAATAGACCTCTTTCATGACCTGTTACTTCAGGCACTTGCCAAAAATGCCAAAATGTTTCCTTATTGCTGGGAAATTAGGATATTTTCCCTTAACAGTATGTGAATAAACCTGGCAAGTTTCATGGCCGTATTAATATTGTGTCGGATTTCAGCCCAGTGATTATAATATTTCCAAGATAACACTTTTAGATACCAACTTTGGCCTTCATTTACCTGGCGTCTATGGAACGAAATTGCTTCATTTTTGGAATTTGCATTCGGGTTAAGAGTACATTTTAAATAAGTGATTCTATAAGCATGGTCAACTTTTGACCATCTAGCAGATCTAATACCTTAATTTAACTTGGTTTCCAATGAACCAATGATCTCTGGAACCATGTTAACAGAATGGATTTTACAGTAACCAAGAACAGGAAGAACTTACTTGTTTAATTTGTCAGCTGTTTCTAGTCGCTGTTGTTTTTGTCTTTCCATCATGACTCTTAATGTCTCTCTAGCCTGCAATGAGATAGAAGTACAACTTAACACTACAAAATAAAACCATCTCTTCTATTACAAACTGAGCAACTTACAGTAGTTAAACCATGGAATCCATGGAATGCTTGGTATAAACTCCTTTGGACTATATAGATGACTTCAAAATATTCAAAACCTTTGCGGTGACACCACTTGCTTGCAGCCCTTGATTCCACTTTTGACCTTATTTTTATGCTTTATTGGACTATAGACCATGGATTATGGTTGTACTTTTGTTGATCAGATCAATATGTCTATCATGCAGAGCATCCTTTATTACCACACATTTGGATCATATCAGTCCTTCAGCCTCAGGGAGAGAGACCATGGGCTCTTACATTTTTAAGGCAGTTTCAGTCATAATATATAACAAAACTCAAAAGAATACAGTGCACTTCGTTCTCATGTATCAACCTCTCTCCTCCTCATAGCTGTTTTAAACCTTTTTATTATATAGACACGAGTGTTTTACTGGAAAATATACCACTCGTAAAATTCATAAAAACTACATCCGGGACCCGAGTGGTTTATTTTCCATAATCTCACACGTGAGTTTATCAATGACGTAATTTCGGTCATTTCCCTCTATTATTTTATCGATGTCTTTTTGTCTATGTAATAAAAAGAACATTACGTGACGGCTCAAAGACATGAATTTTATTTTCTCGAGGCAAAAACAATATTTTACTCACTTGTTGCACTCATTCGTAAATATTGTCTTGCCACTCAAAAATAAAATTTATATCTTCGTGCCACTGTGTAATATCCTCTATATCAAGTTTTAACAATAAAAAATATTTTACATGTAAGATAAAAAAATAATATTACAAACCTGATGAGGCCTGAGCTCGTTGATCAAGTGATGAATATTGATAAATAATAAATTTAAATCCTCAAGTTTTTCTCCTCTCTGAAAAAAAAAATAAACAATACATCTAAATAATACATAGGTTAACAGGGCTGTGCTCTAGCAGAGCCCGGTGGCCCCTGCACCTAACTTTTGCTCTCGGGCGACTAGAAAAGCTCAGATTTTTCATACAAATCATATGCTGGGCACTCTGGATTTTACAGGTTCAGAGCACTGGTATGTATAATTTACTGGCTTTTTCAGCTCTTTTGAATTGTGCATAGTAATACAGATTAACAATAAAATATGCTATTTTTTTGTTCATCTCAACTGCCTACACTGAAAAGTTAAAGGTAGGATATTAGAATAATTTTGAATTTGTATGTGTAATCAAACGGTGATGAGTGAAATTAGGGGATAATTTCACGCGCGTTTTGTTCAAATCCTTATAATTACTAGGATTTGGACAAAACGCAAGTGAAATTATTCTCTAATTTCACGAGTATACCATTTGATTACCTATTAATATCATGGGTGACGAATTACGTTAGCAATCTTGGCCGATTTTTGACATGTTTATCCTGGATTGTATCGATCGAGAGCTCCTGCACTCTCTCGGACGTTTACAGCTTAAATTTGGCTTAAGTTCAGAGATTTTCGACAAAATACCAGTTAGAATCCTTCTTGATGTGCTCTTTCATGTGTTCAGGTTTTCTAAAACATCTTTTTGTGCCCTGACATCTTCATTCATGACATTTCAAACTTCGTTGCCATCTTGACAATGAGACGTACGGAAGGTTGCCATGGCAATTTTGTAATTTCACACGTGAAATTACAAATTAACCTTGAAAGTTCGCGCCAAATTAAGGAGTAATTCGTCACCTATGATATTATATAAGGTAATTTATTAACTGCATTTTCAATACAATACAATGCAGTACTCCTAGCTGTGACCGTTTTGGTCACTAGGGCCAGAAAAAAATTTGGCAACTTAACTTTATTGCTGTAGCAAAAGACGCCAAATTGATTACCTGTACGATATAATGCAATACAATAACTGTTATTACCCAGGTATCGTCTAGTGAGCTAATAAGCTTGTTCAAAATACATTTGCAAGAAATATGACTTATTTATTTCTTCACAGTATTTAGAGTTTATGTTTGGTGACAATTTCATAAAATTAATAAATTATTATATAAGATGACTTTAAAAAAAGTTAAGCATGGAGCACTGCAATGGAAAGAAACTGACTTTTTTGGTACCTTGGATGATGAAGGTGACTTAATTAGGATGTCTAGCAGCTCCAAAAAGTTGATAACAATAGAATGATTAAGTTTCTTCAGTTCTTTTATTCTATCTACAAGGAAAAGAAATCATTGGTATAAACAAGGGCTCAGTTGTTCGAAGGCCAATTTTGCATTAACCCAGGGTTAAATTTTAACACAGGTTTCTCTCTCCTTTGTTTAAAAGTATCTTCTTGGATAATTTTCTCTTTACTTTTAGAGCATCCAATCATCAAAGTTTAGACTACCAGAAGAATTAAACTCAGTTTGAATGGAATGCTTTCATATCTGAATTCAAATTTGTCACTAAGCCTGGGTTATCTTAACCCTGCTTTGAACAACCCAGCCCAGGGGTTTAAATGAAATGGTGAAGATGACAACGATGATGATGAGGATGATGATGAGAATGATGACAAGGATGATGAAGAGGATGATGACGAGGATGATGATGAGGATGATGATGATGAGGATGATGATGATGATGACAAGGATGATGATGAGGATGATGACAAGGATGATGATGATGATGATGATGATGACAAGGATGATGATGATGAGGATGATGATGATGATGACAAGGATGATGATGAGGATGATGACAAGGATGATGATGATGAGGATGATGATGATGATGACGAGGATGATGACAAGGATGATGATGATGAGGATGATGATGATGATGACAAGGATGATGATGAGGATGATGACAAGGATGATGATGATGATGATGATGATGATGAGGATGATGATGATGATGATGATGAGGAGGAGGAGGATAATGATGATGACAAGGATGATGATGGTGACAAGGATGATGATGAGGATGATGACGAGGATGATGATGATGATGATGATGATGAGGATGATGATGATGATGACAAGGATGATGATGAGGATGATGACGATGTCCACAACAATCAACAACAGACTAACAATTACAGAAGATAACCAAACAAATTCATCACCAAAAGATTTAATCACAAACCAAATCTGCCTTGCTTTGTGTAAAGTCGAGTTATTCCGGGCTGTAGTTCTAAAGGTCGAATAATGGATTCCTCGGTCTAAAAGGCAAAGGAGATTAAAAGAGAAAAGGCCTGCAATAAGCTTGTGTTTATAGGCATTATTTTTTCATGAAGAACGACTTTCATAATAATTTGACAAACACAACAAACTAATAACTACGTCACTGACCTTCATGAGAAAAGTAAAAAATTGAATTTTAGCCATTTGTATAGTTAATAGCATGATTTGTAGTGATTTTTGGTATAAATACCACAAGTGATATTTCAAAATTGTTATACGTAATTTCACGAGCAGTTAGGCGAGTGAAATTTGAGACAATTTCGAAATATCACTAGTGGTATTTATGCCAAATATCACGTACAAATCATGCTATTATTTGTTTATACTACTACACGCAAAGGTTTTGTAATTTTCACAAGTAGGTATTTCAAATTAAGCTGAAATACCACTGCTCTTAGCCAATCAAATTGCAGAAATTTCTCATGTAGTAGTATAAAACATCTCATTACCGTTTAATCTCTGGGTTTAATTTCACTTTGCGAACTTAAAAAGGAGATCAACTTAGATGTTACTTATCAAGTCCACGTCAATTTACCTCGAAAGGAGCCCCAAACATTGAGTAAGTCCCCTTCAGTGTAGGTGGTGGATCAGGAGCTATTTTATTCTCCACATTTTCGTCAGTATACAGTTTGAAATACTGCGATGGAGGAAGAGGAAAGGGACAAACTCCTTCAGCAGCAGCCATATTGAATCCTCTTCCAATAACGCCGAAATGGCTTGTGGGTAAAGATTCTTTTTTCGTACCCAGTCTTTCACGACACTTAGACAAAGACAAAATGTGTTGATATATGCAGCTCTTTTAATTTCCGGGCTCTTTTCTTTTGGAAAAACATTCTCTTCTTTATTTTGAGGAATTCCAGAACGCTTTTAAGCTCCAGCAATAGTATTAAGAAGTATCAGCAGAGATCTAGAGTTCATTGTGCTAGAGGCCACCCAGAAGGTCAGTCATAAAATAGCCCATACACCATTTGCACATTTCCCATAAAGCACCTTATTTGCCCCCCCCCCCGCCCCCCCAAAAAAATTTTGCATAAGCATTGTTTTCAGTTTCTCTTGGGATGGCTGTAATACCCAAGAGAAGTGAAAAAAGAAGGTTATGCAAAATTTTGGGGGTAAATAAGGTGCATTATGGGAGATTTGCAAGTGGCATATTTTACAGATACAACTGATTGTTGGTCAATATGTGGCCAATAGTCGGCCCCTATAATATACCTGTCAACTCACATGCACTATGCGTGAGTTTCACACCTGTGGACTAAACACATTGATCTCAGGCATCAAGGACAATTTCCCACGTCTGACTCACAAATCTGGACAAATTATTCTTTCACACATGAAAATAATGAAAATTCAGTCAAAATAGGCGTTAAAGGATGACTTTGTGTCCCGTTTTGTGTTCTAATGAAATCAAAGCACGCTAAAAATGTCGTCTTTTAAGTGCTCAAAGGTCTTTAGAACATCTGTGGACATTTTTGGCAACGTTCCAAAGTCTTCAGAAAGTCGTCAGAAATCTTCAGAAGTTGCTGGGACGTTTCGGGAAATCCCAGTCCTGACAAGGTGAAAATCTCAAGCATTTGACTCAGAAAAAGTTGGCAAGTATACCATAACCTATCAGTTGACAGTCGATCATTACTTTGTCAATGGCTCACTGACATATCGCTGACACTCAGTCAACAGCCCTGTCCATTGTCAGTTCAGAGGCTAAAATTAATGTTTCAGCATAATTATTAGTTTTGTTGGACATAAAAGAGAAAATTTCTCACCGAAAACTATGGCATTCCGTTGTGGACAAAACATGTACTAGGAAAAAAATTTGGTGGACGAGTTGGGCAAGACCATAAAGCCTGAGCCTGAAAAATGGATAGTCGCCTTTGCCTTTCCCACTTTGGACAGTAATTATTTTTTGGGGCTCAAGATACAAGGTAGAGGGGGACATTGGGGGGTACCCAATACCGTAATACCGTAAGAAAAAATGGCAAATACCGAAATACCGCGTCGAAAATTGTCCAAATACCGATACCGCATATTTTAATCATATTTATAATCGTTTCCGCATACTTATGGTTGCTTCCATCTAGTACGTTTACTTATCTCAGGCATTTATGCACCAGATGTGCATGTTTTTTTTTAAATATTTTGGTAGTTAGCAAAATTTTCGCAAATTTTCACGGAAAAGTAAACTACATTCGTTCAACCTTTTGGTAGGTGGACCCAACAGCTAATTAACTCCAATAAAAATAACTCTTGAAAGCGCGAAAAACAAACCAATCCAAACCCTTTCCACGCACGTCTAGTGCGAGTTTTGATAAGTGACTGACCCTTAGAAAACTTATTGGGGGGGGGGGGGCGAAGTACAAAAAAAAATATTCGCGCAAGGGAAAATTAAATGAAAAAAAATTCATACAAGGATTTTGATAACGAAAAAAAATTCCTGCGCCTCGAAAATTCTGTCTCGACTGTCTCACACGCCGCGCCGGTAAGAGGCAAACTTACCAAATTTTAATTCTCGAAACCCGACATCTATACTTATTCTTGTTGCGATAATGTTAGCCTCCTTCGCCCTCTTCCAAGAAACTGCCACACAGTCAATGATAACCACGCCGCCTTCAACCTCAGCGATCTCAGCCATTGTGAGAAAACGTGTAAGACCTCGAATTACCACCGGCTCAAGTACACAGATCGAAAAGCCTGGTAAGGTGACTTGAGATGACTCATTATCATTGGATGCAGCAACAATCACATTGTATATTATCGACCATTAACTGTCACAAAATGACCCACAAATGGTGTAATCATTTACTGTTATGTCTCAAGACTTCTGAATTTTAACTTTTATTGACCTTTATGTCCTACTGTGTTTTGTTTTGCGTATTGTATCGAAATGAAAGCGCAAATAAACGGTACCGTAATACCGTGAACAATATTATTTCACCGAATACCGTCAACCAAAATGATGAAAAACCGCATACCGCAGAACTAGATGATACCGCAATACCGTACTGAAAAAATGAAAATTACCGAAATACCGCATGAAAAAAAGCCCAATACCGCAATACCGTAAACCCCCATGTCCCCCTCAAGGTACAAGATACAAGGTTTGTCTCTTCACTCAATACACCACTGATATGTTACCAATACTTGACCGATGGTTCACTGATGCATTGCTGACACACTATCGATACTATCGCGACTGACTGTTGACCAATGGTTGACCAATGATCTGTCGATATGTCTGTCAATACTCGACCAATGCAAGACCAACACTCGACCGATGCGCAACAGGTCCTCAACAACACTCAACAGAAAATATTATATCGATCAAGTTGTCGACAGACACTCGGCCAATATATCGATCGATATGTCGTCCAAAACTCAACCGATATGTTGACGGATACATTGGTCAACACCTGCCATGAGACACAAGATCCATATTAAGTATAAGACTTAGTATTAAGTTATCTTATGTTGACACTAATAATTCTTTGTTATAGGCATGGCATCAAATGCTGTTAATGGGTGTCCATCCATCAGAGTAATTATACAGCAGTGTCTGTCAGCTAAATTACAAGTCCAGCCACCAACAGAAGACAGTGATGCTGAGTGGGTTGAGGTGCGAAATGAAATAAGCATTGGGGACCCAATCATCCAGACCCTAAGAAAAGAGAAGGGCTTGGCCCTAGCCCCATGGGCTCAATTTGGCCTAAAAATAGGGTGGGATCCCCATGCCCCCCAGCAGGGGGGGGGGGGGGAAAGTCATCTACACGGTGTCTGTTTCTCTTTGGACAGGAATCCTAAATACGACGAGTTGGGGAACGGATGGTTCCTACTTTTATATGGAGGACACACTCCAGTGAGACACTGGGTCTGCATATATATAAGTCCTCAGACAAATGAAATCGCCAAAAGTGAAGGCGTTTGAGTTGCCTTGAATAAACGAACACCAGTCATTGAGAAAGGTCACCAGTTGCTAGGTGTACTTGGCTCTGGTAGGCAAGCGGTTAAGCAGGCTGCAAACCCTGACCAGCAGTTCCTGACAAATTCTACACTTTTCCCTCCATGTCATATTAATTTACTAAATAATTGTAGGAAAACAAAAATTACACTTTTAAGGAGGCCCTGTTAGGGTAAAATTTTCAAAAGGAACATGGCCTTGAAACAGCGACATGGGACAGAAGAAATGGTGACAAACTACACAAAGACATGAGTTGAAACTGCGACAGGGACAAAGAAAGGCACAAATTCTACAGTAAAATACCGACAGTGACATGGCTTCCTCCTCTGTCAAATACACAAAACAACAGGCTTTGAAATTCAGACTTAAGGGCCTCTTTAAGCAATGATCGTGAACAGGTGGAAGGTACAACCAGAAACTCTGCATAACGGCTTTGTTCCCAGAAATTATGCTTTTGTGTGTGTTTACAAATTAATAATGTATTTTCTCCATGCAGTTCCCTAGATGAAGTCTAGATGTTAATACATGACATGCATGCCTTGTAGGCTAATAACACCCTCCAGTCAGCAAATGACTTTCCAGATTTTGCACAGCATACAAACATGTACATAATTAGCATACTGAATACTGGTAAATTATATCACTTAGTGAACTTGCTTTCAGATTAGTAGAGGCATCATTGTCTACCTTTGTTTCCTCAAAGGCTCAAATCTGGACCTTATACCAAAAGTTGGTGAGTTGGTATGGCGTGTTCAGCTCTCCTGTGGACAAAATCTTTTTTCTGCAGGCTGCCAGCATGGCATTATTGGTATTGGCGTAAAGACCGGCTATATCTTCTTGCTATGCATTGAAAGTTTTTCTTTCAGCTACCATAAATAATAAGCATTTTAAAAAATACTGTATGCTACCAAAGCTCTAATAATAGACAGTTGCATAAGTAGACAGCTCTACTACATTATACTATTAATAGCAACCTTACGTGTAAGTTGACAGAGCCTTGTTTGAACTCTCTACTTTAAAGCATTCACCTCCAGTTGCCAACAGTTTTTCTTGTTTACAACGGTATCAGCTTAAGAATGTTTTGACTGTATTTCTAAGCGATTTTTTTTATCAAGTTAGTTTCATGTATTATTCTCTTATACAGAAGCCGCAGAAGCAATAACAATTTCCATTTCAGAACGTTTCTTTTTGCTTTGTATATTTATGTATAATGTGGACATTTGCTTTTTTAAACATATTGACTTGTTATTTTATTTAATTGAATTGATTTCTTGATGTATTAAAAAGGATTATTTTGTATTTCCTCTTTTCAGTAAAATCTATTTTAAATGTAAAGTTAAGTGAGCCCACAGGCAAACCATCCAATGTGTCAGTTTTAGATCTTCCTGGGGATGTTCTTATAGTGCCACAGGTAAACAATATTGTATCTACATAAAAGCATTTCATTCCTGTTAAATCACTTTCCATTCAAACGTCTGTCATGCAAACTATATAGATATCTTCACCGTGACAGTATTAGCTCAGTCGCTAGAGCACCTGACTGCAGAGCTGGTAGCCTGCATAGCATGACGGTTTTGGTTGGGCGCGCTAAGTAATAAAGGCGGGCGAGTGCAGAGAAGCCGCTCGTTCTCGCACGCCTTACGAGCGAATTTCGCGGCCCGCGGCTTCGCCGCTCGTGCGCCCGGCTCGACAAAACCGCCATGGTACGCAGGCTTCAGAGCTGGAGGTCGCGGGTTACATTCGCCGGGCCGGACCAATACTTAACTTAAAAATAGCGGAGAAATGCGGGTACTGCCTTTGCCCGGCAAGCGGCTAGACCTTTTTGCGGCTCGGATGACCATGTAAAATGGCGGTCCAGTCTCCAGAAGGAGACGGATATAAAATAGCGTCCTCGATTAGAACGTTCATGTTAAAAAGAGTGGGGAAATTTCATCACCCCGAATCGCAGTCCATGATTTGCTGAAGCTTCTGGGAATGGCACGAACCATTAGATTTTCTCAGTAACCAAAGTTTCTTGTTTTTCCATGTAAATGGAATAAGTTTAAGTACCCCAGGTTTTCAAGAATTAACGTGCGGCATTTTTACTGAAACTTGAATTTTTTTCCTCATTGCTTTTACAGGCCACACTGGGTGGAAAGATGAAAGGAAAAAGTATTCAGTATCATTCAAATATTTCAAAAGAAGAAGGAAGGCTATTTTATGAAAAGTTTGTTTTTCTTTGTGAGGTATTAACTATAAGATGGATGAGCCATATCACATCAAGTAATTTTTATGACATCGTCTGTTTTTAGTCCATAAATATAAATGCTACCAGAAACTCATAAGGGGTTAAATCGACCCCTTATGAGTTTCTGATGCTACTCAATTCTGAGTCGCTTACTCAGTGTCTGGAAGCGTATTTTCGGGATCCGGTATTTAATAAAACAGAGCGGGATTCGGGAAAACGCAAAAATTCTTGACGGGATACTGGATTTGATCGCTACTTGAGAAGATTGGCACGGGATGTGGTATTAGGAAAACATCCGGTATGCCGAAAATGCTGGAAGCAAGGATTGAGCGGTGTGATTATCGAAAACGATGCTTAGTGTAACATTACCAAACGCTTTAACACTTTATGTTTTTCTTTGCCCAGGAGACAATTCAGTCTAGCTCACCAAGCTCATCCGTCAAACATGGTAAGTTCGTAAATTAGACTCTGCTTTCTATTGAGTAATTTCTCTATTAAGTTACTAATTTCCTATACGCTTGCACTTGACTATCACTCGGTACATGCTGATAGGATGATTTCGGTCTTACAAACATGCCTCTCCTTATGAATACGTTCATGACAAGAAAACCGCCCTTTGAATTCTTACCCTGCCTTCCTCTTTAATCCTGACGGTTTTTGTAAAGGGAATGCTTTACTCTGTTGACTGTCGTCTATCTGCATGCAAACGACAGTCTATTTGCATATGGGTGAAACCGCCAATCTGAACCTCCCGTAAGCGACCACCCAAAATGCAAAGACTGAGTGGTCGCTTACGGGAGATGGTCGTTTACAAGGATCGAACCACAGGGCGTCTCTTTCGAGAAGAGGTCCAGGCACATCTATATGGAAGATAATTTATTGCATACAACGTCTAAGTTAGCACATGTATAGTTCCATGTTGTTCTAAGTAACATAGTGTACACAGCGAAAATAGAGATCAGGGAACGCGTCAAGTAGTCGCTTACAAGAGGTTAAAAACAATGGAAAAATCGATCGTTAACCGTCAGGCCAAAAAAGTGGTCGCGGTCGTTTACAGGAGGTGGTCGTTTACTAGAGGCTCCAAATGTAACGCTTTGACTTAGAAGACCTTGGTGTTCTTGATTGGCGGTCGCTTATGGCAGGTGGTCGCTTACGAAAGGTGATCGCACATGGAGGTTCGACTGTACGTCTCCTTCCGTGCTGGGCGTCGGCTATGCGTAGGGAACACCCGTATATAATCGCCCATTTCCTTAGCTTCCGCCCCATAAACAAAAGCAAAGCCGATCGTAACTTTTTTTATTGCACTTCAACTGTTTGTAAAAACCTGTTAAGCAGATAGCATTTTGGGGCATGATCATGCATGAGGTGAGTTTGAAGCAAAAAAAATTAAATTAGACCAAGGATAAAACCAGGGGGGAGTACAAAACAAAGTATTATAAGGGTAGGCTTCGCCCCAAGGTCCAACCGGTTACCCTTAAATGTATCAGTTTTGACAGAAAGGTACCCCTTTCGTATACCCTCGTTTGAAAAATGGTACCCCTTTCACGTACCTTCTAACTGCTGTAAATGCACTGTCTTTGAAATATGGAACAAAAAAAACGTTTTCTCGACTTTTTCAGTCACAGCCATAAAATGCATTTGTTATCCCTTGTGGGCCTTTCGAGTGAACGAATGACAGATTTCCCAACCCTTTCAAATACTTCAACTAGTGAAATCCCTAAGCTTTCATATACTTGAAGCCTGATGTGTACCCCGTTTGGGCTGAGCCTTCCCGTATAGGCCATTAAAGGGATCGAATTGAACCACAACGTACTCAAATTCTTGCTCTATCATGAAGAGAAAATGATGACCAAGAGATTGCTGGTTTTCGCTGGGAAACAAAAGTTGCTAAACTGTTTGCTTAAGGGGTTTCGATACAGTTTTTCGGCGACCGTACCGATATTTTTCAATCGCCTTAAAAGTGGTTTTATCCTTGTCCGATCGCTTTAAAATTTTTACCAAAGACAAAATGTAGTTTTAAGTAAATATATTTCGAACTGTATCGGAACACTTTAAGGCTTTAACGAGTTCTATAATTTATAGAAACCCGAAGTATATCCTATGATGGTGACCTCAATTGAAGTTTATCGGATTCAAAGTTTCGATTTGATTCAAATTCTTATGGATTCATTTTCGTTCATTGGACTTTGTCGTGATTTGGGTCAAGATTTTACCGCCAAGTACGTGTCTAAAGTACTTCTAATTAATGGTTTTCATTTTAGGTACTTATGGAAACAGACAAGTTCTGAGCGTTGATACCAACGGACCATTTACACATGTCCTCGACTTTTAACGAATCGTGCGTTATTTATTTCGGAGACATTTTGAGTCTGTTTAAATCAATAAAGTGTTTTTTTGTTTTTTGTTTTGTTTGCTTTGTTTGGTTTTTTAAAGCCCTTGTACGTTTGCCCTTCAAAACAAAGTCTCGCACTCAATTTACAAAAGGAACTTATTTTATTACAACACTACGCCAAATACAGGGTCTCCGGAGGGGCTGGATAGAGGGGGTTTTTAAGATTGGAACAATTCTTCCTTTCATCTTTTCCAATTCATGGAGAGCCACCTTTCCGAATTTAACAAGCTGTAGCGACAATGCCGCAGTAATTAAAAGTTTGGTGCATTACTGTTATGAAAGGATAATAGTTTAGATTCATTTTTAGACTTTTTAGAACACCTAAATTAGAATTTTCTCGAGCCCCTAAGTAGCTCACCGTTACGTTTGCGAAATACCCTCTCCCCTTCCCTCTAAAGTTTGCTTTGCGTCCCGAATGGATTGTGCTTGAGTGGATTTGTTTATCAATTTGCTGGCCTGTGTCCTAGCTCTCTCGGCTTTACGCTTAGCTTGGGCTTGATTGCCGAGAGACCTTGCAAGAAGGCTAGTAAATTGGCTCAATAAACTGTTACCGTCCCTAAAGTGAACTTAAGCGTTAAAGACATTTAAAATTAAACAACCGCCTTTGTGCTGGCCTGGCTGTCGCACATTAGAAGGATGCGACGCCGCGTGATCCTTAAAGGGGAAAATGCCGGAACTTTTGTAGACTTTGTTAAACGACCTTAATTGGTGTAGCAATTCATACTAGATCAGTATGTTTTGTTTACAACGTGGGGTTGCTCTTCCTGTTAGTCGCTCCGCTTTGCTCCCGATTTGGCGCTTCGCTGACATTTTCTTTATTTTCGGTCGCGCTCAGTCCTTTCTCGACATGTGGACAAGTCACAAAGGGAGAGAGTAACTCACTATTTGTATTCAAAGATAAGATCACAAGATATCAGCGTAAAATAGCATTTAGCGGTAAGTTAAAGGCAAGTACCTGAAGAATTCAAATAGTGGGGGAAAAATCACACAGACTAAGTTCCCTTTTTTTCTAATCCAAGTAACTTTATTTTCTTTTTAAATTTTGCTTACATTACACTCCGTCAAATCCCCAGCTAGCCTGTTTAACTCGTGTCAGTGACTTAAAGGCGACACTGGGAGAAATAGACTTTCACCTTACACCCGCGATAAAAGTCAGGATTACAACCGCTTTGTATTACTTTGCCACTTGGGTCGTCGCTGCTAAAGGGCAATAGCCAATTAGCAAATCAATTTGCAGACGTCTCTGCATTTCCTAGAGCAACCACGCCAGCTACACTCGTACCAGCAATATGCATTACAAACCCTGCGGCAAAGTCCTCTTCGCTTTCTGGATCCTACAAAGTAATTCAAATAAACGCTGGGTAGGAGTATTTGTTGTGATGAACTCTTACGGGCGCGTGAACCCTATAATCTTTGTGGGCACGCGACGCTAACACTTTGCTCCTCAACTGAAACCGATTTTGAGAAAAATATAACGACTGTTTGCAGTCTTTTTGCAATTTTTATTTCCTTTCCTTATTTTATTAAAATTGCTAGAATGGACTTCTTTATGTGGACGCATCACACTGGCGTTAAATGATGTACAGAGTCTACAGAGAAAATCTCATTCCAGTCTGAATTATTGCACGGGGTGTAATGCTGGTATGACTGAATGATTGAGCAAATTATGCAAATAACTTGTTTTTTTTCAAGTTAGTCAATTCCAACTTGCGTTACGTTTCCTTTTACCCCGGCAAAAGTGTGACCCGTTCAACATCCTTCAATTCCAATTTACCATGGCCAAGTGGTTTTTACCCCCTACAGTAATTCCGCCTCACATTTCTAGTCTGTGCAGTTCATTTTTTTCCTCACCTTCCAATGGCATTTCAGCGACATAAGCTTCTTCCTCGTCCCACAGTTCCTTTGTATCATCCTGACTCAGTCTTCCCTTGGTAACACGGTAAATTGGCAGGTTTGCACATAGATCCGCCATCTCTGTGCTCAAAATTGATCGGTCTTGTAGTTTGCCGACAACCTTGTAAGTTTCGACGGTCTGAGGCGCTATTTTTACGTCGGCTTTACTCAGCTAAACAAAAGGGTTAAAAAGTTTGAAGTTAGCGTAATTAGGGACTGTGCAGTAATAATCAGGAGTGGGGCTGAAAAATGAGCCTTACACAGAGTAATATTACGTAGCACCCCTGCCAACAAAGGCAAAATAGCTGTACTCCCCTTTCTGGTCACTTGAAAATTATGACGACCCCCCCTTTGAGTTATATTTACATTTATTCACTCCTTTGGTAATGTAAAGTTTTTCGACAACTGCGTCTGGAACACCCCCAACTGGTTTAACAGCCCCCTTCCTGATAAGTGTTGCACAAATCCTTATGACTTTACTTGAAAGAAGGAATCGGCCTTAGACCTGTTGCCGTAGGCAGACGATCCGTCTCAGATCTCTAAAGCTTGCAAATGTTGGGTTGTGAGACAGTCGTAGAGACAGTCGCCAAACTCATTTTTTATCGTCACTTTATTTAGCCAATTACCAAACGTATTTACGTCTGTACATCTATAAGATCACCTCACGTGAAGTTTAGCTAGGTTGACCTGGTGCAGCTAGCCTTAAAAGGGAAATACTTAGAACTCCTGTCGTTATTTTGAGACGTTTTTGATCGAGTATCTAAACTATTACTGGGAAAGTGCGTGATTACTTTAGTTTGCATCATCATGATTTGTGATTGGCGGAAACATTTCCCGCTAATTTTTCAAACCAATCAGTACGCGCTTAGCCTGCGCACAGCCGTCTGAAGCAAAGGGGATAAGAGACGTCTACACGAAGTCTTTACCTGCATTGCCCGTGCGCGTCACTCGCTTGGCACTGGCTACGTTTATTTACTTTGAGGTGTGTTTGGTTTGTCGGATTTTCCGTGTTTTGGCGGTACAAGATTACCACTTCTCTGAAATACCAAATCATTGTAAAAAAGATGTATCATACCAGACGTTTATTGGGTATTTTGAACAAAAGTGCTTCAAAACAAATAAAAGCCTCACTTTTGTTTGGCTTATTCCTCACTATCTCGGCCACGGGTACATAAATTTGGGCTGTGACTAGAATGGATACCCCCAAATCAGGCTGCAATCGTCACTTAAAATAAAAAAGTAGTGAATAAAAGAAGGACGAAAACGGAGTACGTAAGGCTTGAACCCAGATAATTTGAGTTATTATCCACATCCATATCGACTACACCATCAAGGGCAAAATGCCGATATCGGTTATTTTAAAGGTACTTTACCTAGCATTGCTAATTATCTAAAAGCTAACAGGGTTTAATCAATGTACTTCGATGCTAAACCCATATATACTGTTTTCCTTACACAACTGGCTCTCCGAGTTTCGCATTTTTCTAAATTAAATGGTTCTCTATCAGGGCAGAAGTGCGTTGTGTAATAATCATGAGGTTTCCAACTACCCATAAATTTTTCTGCGGCTGGAAGTATGAGGAGATGTGCGCGCCGCGAAAGGAGTGGAAGCACGCGAGGAGATGCATGACTACAGAAAATACTTACCACATTTAGAAGTCTCATTAATTCCTTTGGCCGGGGAGCATTTCCAGTCGATTGACTCAAAAAGCAGGATTTCGCCTCTGGCAAGCGGTTCATCACCAAATTCTGCAAAAAAATGAGAATGATACAAGACGCAAATATTTTTAACAGCTTTTCTAAACAAGTCGGAAAATTGCCGTGTTTTAAGATATAGACTGATGGGCATAATTTTCCTAAGCCGCACATAAAAAAAACTTTGGAGGCAATCGCCTATAGCAAAGTGACTGTCTTGGGACAAAATTCTCTAATCTAATTGGCTATCAGCGCCCTAATTTCAGCGTTTTGAAGAAGGACATTAAGGACATTACGCGCCATCGCGCGCACGCAAGCGCGGTAGCCGGGATAAGAAAACGATGGATTTTAAGAGAAAATGCGGACTGCCAGCAGTCTATGATTTTTTTGGCACCATTGAAAACTGTTAGCAGTGTTCATGTACCCACCCTTTGGAAATCGTAGATGGTATCCCCCGCGTCTTTACCAGTTGATGCTTCTCGAACCTGAGAAGTTTCAAGTCTTCTCCCAGCGTCAACTTGAATCCGTTCGTTATAATTTTTCCCATCTCTGGAGACCAACTTTAGAGTGTAACTCTGAAAGATCAGAAAATTCAAATGTTAGATGCTTGTTAGTGCTTATTGCATGATATCATTTCGGCTCTTTCTACATTATGAGCGACCTCTATAGGTAATAGATTGGACTATGAAATATCTCTTTCGTCTCTGTTTGTCTTTGACAGCAACATGAAAGAGCGAGAGGTCTAGAAGACTTCATTAAACAGAACAAATGACTCACAGCTTTCTGTGCTGCATGGGAGATTAGAACCATCGGCGCGACCACCAAAAGAAGCAGCGACAAATGACCCATTGTGAATGTATTTTGTTCTCAGTCCTCTTTCCAGTGTAAGCTTTTTTAGAGCTCAAGGGAATGATGCTTCTGAGTGAGAGATTAGCTGTATTTAAGCAAGTCTGACCCATTGTTATGAGAAACATGAAAATTCTCGGCGAATTAATATTATTTATAGCTTGATAAATATCTCGCTTTGTCGACCTCGTATCAGCTTGACAAGATATTTTTGGTACAAAAAAATATTTCTTATAAATCAATTTATTACAGGCACGCAATAATTTGCGGAAGCGGTTTAAAGAATGTTTTTGCCCTGCTTGGCAGTGAGTCTGCAGTGGGAGCATAAGTTAAGTAAGTTAAGGACTTTCAGCAAGTCGATTGTAATCAGTACTTATATTTATTTAAGAAAGCGTTTATCAGAGATAGAGAACAAAATGAAAGGGCAAATACAACTGTCAAAAATACTTTATGATCGCAGGATAGTGTTTCCTTAAAAGCCACCTCGAGCAACAAGAACCTCTACTCCGGGCTTACTTAACTAAAGCAATTTAAAAATGAATGTGGTAAAATAAAAATTTGATCAAAATTTATTTCTCGTATTGAAATCCGCTTTACCTTTTTATCATATAATATTATTGCAAGATTTTACTCGCTGAAAATTACATACCACTTATACTACTTAAAATAGGATCCGGTACTTCTATTTCTTTCTGGGTTTCCTCGCATATACAGTTGCTGGTTAGAGTTGTAAAAAAGTAAAACGCGATTCTCTCCTAAGAGTCAGTCACACACAAGAATAAAAAACAGCAAAGATCAAACTTTCTATATTCATATCGGAATAATACTGATTTTACTTCCTTGTTTACACACCGATGTTTTTTTTTTCAATATTTTTTTATGGAGAGAGGTAAAACAACGCTTTGGTGGAGCATGGAGGGTTAAAATTCACATAGCCGTCATTAGTTCCGAAATCATTGTGAATAAGCGTTCTGCAGTTTCATGTTATTTTTTAAGTTTCTTTCTTTATTCTTTTTTTCTCTTAATTTATAACAGACCTCGACTCGTCATTTTGTTACGATCGCGATTTTATGTATTATCACAATTAACCGACAATTTTAAACCTCCTTTTTTCCTCTTATATAGCTTTTCTGTTTCTTTCATGATATCATCGGCTGTTATTATTGTGGATAGTATTAGAACTATATAGCCAAACTCTTACGTACTTTTAAGAGAACTTCTTACAAGGTTTACACCTAACTTGTTTTCATAGCCCTTGCGAAGAATGATACCTAATTCATAGCACGAGGTAAAATTACGTAAAGTAAAATTCAGGTAAGTTAGAAGCATCATCAGTCCTTTCAGAAAAAAGAATAAGAAAAATATTCTATTAACTACAAATATACGGGATATTTTTTAGACAAGTCTTAGGATATAATAGACTTTTTTTCTGTCAAAATGGCTGGCAAACTGTTCCATATTTTTAAATCTTTGTATCCTTCTGTATAAAAATGATCTGGCAAAGTTTCTCCGTGAGACGATTTTATGAGATTGCTAGTCCGATCTTCAGTTTACTGCGGGAAACTGGTCGAAGACGGCGACTATATCAATGTTCGCTGTGGAGTCATTGCAGGAAACAGCTGTAATGTCGACTATAAGCACGCACCTAATTTGGCCCGGACAATGTAATTGGAGGGTCTCGATGATAGTCCACCAGTTCATTCAGTGATAACACTTGTACTAAACGTTTAGCTCTGTAACAAATAATTTCAGAGACTTTAACACTCCGAAAAACTAAATTTGATCGCTGAGCAATAAATCAATATATAGGAAAGAAATTGATTCGTCTGAGATTTTCACTGACTTTTTTCTATTGTCTTACCTTCGATTAATGAAAGTTGGCCTCTTACACATTGCAGTCCTTATATTTGGCTATTATTCTCATGAAAGGGTCTCTAAAATTTAAGTTTTGAAAATAGTGGCGGAGAAAAGCATTAGGAATGTCTCGTCAGTTAACCTTTAAATAGCATCTAAGACTGAATTTCGCGGGGGAAAGTACATTTTTATGAGTGAGGGTGATCAAAACAGAATTTCTTTAAACTTAATACGATTGAACATTCGCAAGGCATACAACGAGAAGTAACTCATGTGAGCTCAGTTTTCCGTAAAGAGCATTAAAAATCATGTAAGTCATTGTCAGTGTTGTCGCGTCTATTGTCCGAAATTTGAAGGTTTTTTCAGATATTTCAATTATTGAAGATTTTAGACCTCTCGATCTCACCGAAACTGCTTTTTTTTCTACCGTTAGCCGGCTGTTTTGTGATGCAGGCATTCAGATGGTATTTCAGATTATTGGCTATGAGATTGCGATAATTTATTGGCATCGTCCATAACGTACCTTTTCACTGTTTTTTAAGAGCTCTCAAGATCGAAGTGCACCTGTGAATATAAGTGGTGGTTTTCTCAGTGCATCGAGAGGGGAACGTGAAAACAATTCTCCACTTCTTAATACCGAGTAGGATTTTTTTGGTAGAAAAGGTTTCCACAGCTATAACTCAGTTCAGATGGATATCATCACCGACAAAACTGTAAATTTGCATGAGGAAGCTAAGAATTTGAAAAGTAATTCGTGCATATTAAATACCCTTATCCTTATTTAACAACAGGAGAAAATTTAAAAGCATTTAAAACAAGCGCCACGTACGTTTTTTTGCTGAAATTTTACAAGTGCAAAAGAAGAATGGTGACCTAAACAGGCTAATCGGAAACATATAATTAATGGTGCGTTATTGCGAACTTTTAGGGGACAAAATTAAACGCATTTATACTTCCTTAAGCTGTATTAGCTGAGTAAAGTAAATACCGATCACTTTGTAAGAAGGACAGTCACTTCCTTGATATTGCTGGGCATAAATTTTACATTTCGACACCTATGAATTTGTGGCATCAGGAATCCCTTTCATTTGAGCCCTAGCCAGACAAAACTTCTTAATTTTCAAAATCGAAAAACAAAAAAGAATTAATTCCTATCTATCCAAATCCTTTGTAACGCACACATAGGAAATTTCAAAGTTTTGATCAGCCCCCCTAGGATTGCCAAGTCCCCCGGTCCTGCAGGGGACTCCCTGTTTTAAGGAGGATTCCCCGGTCTGACAGTTTGGAGTTGCGAAGTTAGTCTCAGGGAAAACTGACAACGTCAATGTTTGAATTTAAAAAAAAAACATACCGAAATTTGCCGACACTCACAAAATTCTTTTCTTTGTGTAGTATGAATGCTAAAATCATTTTTGTAGCTCTTTTTATTGCTTGAAAATGACAGATCAATGAGAAAAGCAGTAGCTCTTGTTAGTAAATTTCTCTTCCTTCTGATTGTTTGAAATCTCCAGCTTCTTTTCCTTTTTCTGCAGGTTTTTGAATTACATCCTTGAGGTTTTCCGTATTTTTTTGTTTTAACGCTATAGACTATTTTTAAATCGTCGATAAAACACTCTGTTTGCCCACAAAATGTTGCAAAAATTCTCTTGAGAATATGTAATCATCACAGGAAAATTTGATGATAGTTTATGCAAAAATAGAGTTCTTTGGTGGTGGTGGGGGCGGGGGCTGGCAGGCCAACGGAGTATCTTATGTGATTCTAAAATAAAGAATTGTGACCGATGCAAAATCAGAAAATATTTCGGCTCCTGATCGCTGTGATATAAACCGAATACTTTTGCGTAGTGCACTCACATGCGACTTCTTAATTTTTTACTCCACCACATGACAGTGGTAAGCTTTGATAGATGTTGCTCGCAAACGTAGCATAATATGCTCCTACTATGAGTGCTCGTATATTTGTAAAATTATACCAATAATTATGCTAGTTTTTGTAAATTATGCTCTAGCTCTTTCTCTGCCCACGCCAGTGTGAAAATCAAAATTCAGTCGAAAAAAAGACTCTGCTTTGTTGTTATGTTTGCTCTCTTAAAGACTGGGTGGTCATGCGATTTACCGCTAAAACGCGCGGGTGCTTGAATGTAAAATTCCATCCACGCTTACATGAAGGGACGGATTGGACCTACGGTCACGTGACTACCAAATTTTCTCGATAATTTCAATTTCTATCAAAGGTAATGTAGGCTCCTCGCGCGAGAGACGAGAGAGAGCTGCGCTATTGACCATGTAAAGGTGTTTAACAATGTTGGCAAGAGGAGAGATGGCAAGCAAGGGCAATTTTCCGAAAAGAAAGGATTGAAAATCGTTTTATTTCTCAAACCCTTTTATTTATTAGTTGCCTTTGAGTTTCATTATTACTCTTTGAATAACCCTTTCGATTCCACAAATATATCCAGTTCAGCCACTCGATTTTTCTTGTTCCCCGTGCTTTGAGCGATACCTTGGGCGGTACAGTTTTATTTTTTGCTTCGTTTTCCTAGTAAGAAACAAAACAAAATTGATTTGAATTTTTACATTGTTGTATTGGTCTTTTTCTCTGTTTTGGCAAACAAAGGTACAAAAGCTTAAGGTAAAGTTTGACTGTTTCTTCTCCAAGGATTATTCGCTTTTTTCTTGTCTCTGCATACTACCTTGCTCGTCATGCACGGTCCCGCCGCCTTGAGTTTATACGAGCGCTTTTATGTAAAGGCTCTTGAATAAAAAAAAAGTTCATTCTGGCTATTAGATGACTGAAAACTTCACAGATCTAACTGATGTTCCATCTTGAGGGCCCACAACTGCATGCGTACAAGTGCGAGTGGTATTTGCTTCACCCCTGGCGTAGCTGCGGTCCTTGTTATTCTATTATGGTTTTATTTCTCTGTCACCGAGTAAAAACGCAAATCATACTTCTGGTATGCATGCAAAGCTTAAAAAAGAACTTTTGTTCAAATTGTAGTCATTCAGTCGAGAAGCCGGTAGACAACAGATTACAGCCGGTTAGCTACCAGTTTATCTACTCACAACCGAAGGTTATTCAAGAGTTTTTTATATACATATATATTCATATATTATATATTTTTGCCATTTTCTCCAGCTCGAACAAAACAGCTGACCCCGCGTTATTCACTGGCCCTTTTCCTTAAGGTTAACCATAAAGCAGGCTCAGTTTTGAGGATATCGGCAAACATCTTTCAAATGTGGTCAACCCGGAAGCTGGCTATGAAGAATTAACTAAGGCTGCTAAGAGATTTAACCCCCACCCCCCCCCCGGGGGCTACTCCCTTATATAAGCTATATAGGTATGTGCCACCCCGATGCGTAGGGTTTTTGGGCCTTTTTGGTCTGAAAACGGGTATACACTTTGCCCGTTTTGGTCTGGAATCGGGTATAGTTTTCGAGGGAACTACGGGAGTGTATGAACGTATTTATCGTTTCAATTACAAGTGAATAAGAACGAATAGAAATCTGCGAATTCGAAAGGCATTTGAAGAATTTTTTTATTTGCGCTCTAATCTAAGTAATAATGACATAATTTCTGCCTAATGCCAGGTCTAAAAACGTGTATGGTTTTTAGAGGTCGGGTCTGAAAACGGGTGTGAAGAATGACATTTTTTGGTCTGACTTTAGGGTCAGGATTTGGAGAACCGGACGGCACACCCCCACCAAGAATTCTCAGAAGCACCCCCCGGGATTTCAGCCAATCAAAAAACTGAAAAATCTGAGCTGAAAATTAATAAGTATAGTGAAAAGACAGGTCCACTGGCGGATAATTACTCACATTGGGTCGCAGCACTTGAGTTTGTAACTAAGGCAGTCCAGCTCATAGCTTGAACAGTTGGTGTCAAGTGGCACACACTTATAACCCATCCCTTCACACTGACTGTCTGTAAAGATATGGATTTTTCAAGCCGGCTTTTGAAGACAGGGCATTTACATAAATTAAAAGTTCTAAAGGGGTATCATTTGTCAATAGAAGTTATAGGAAAGGGGTACTTTTTCTGTCTAAAATGATATATAAAAGGTAAGGGGTTGAACCTCGGGTGGAGCCTCCCCGTAAAAAACTTTGTTAAGTCCCCCCCCCCCCCCCCCCCCCCCCCCCCCCTTTTTTCCCCCCCCCCCCCTCTAATTCGCTCCATACCCCCCCCCTGCTTTTAAAAACACTTTTTCAAAAAAAAAGATTTGTTTTTTTTTTGCGGAAAACGATCTCGTTCTTTTTTTTTTTTTTTTTTTTTTTTGACTGAGGAGCATAAATAAAAAGTATAAAGGGGGTTATTTGTGTTAAAAAAATTAAAAGAAAAGGGGTACTTTTTTTTTTAAAAAAATATAAAAAAAGGTAGGGCGGTGACCCCCGGGGGGGCCCCCCCCTAAAAAAATTTTTTTAATCCCCCCCCCCCCCCCCGCACCCACCTGCAGTTTACCCTCCACTCGCTGATGAACTTTCACATGACTCCCATTCGGCTTATAGAACTACTTTATCGAAAATAAGGTGGTTTTGTACTTAGCGGTCAAACTGTACTTGCCTTATTTTATCCTTTTTCTATTGTTACCAGCAAGGACTTAAGATTATAAACCTCGATAACTTCAGTAAAAAAAAGAACCAGACATGGTTATACATTGAAATATAAAATAACTTTTAAATGAAAGTAACGAAGTACGACATTTGTCTCGGTATAATTGAACACAGACAAGTGGCCCAGTAAAGACAAAATTGTATTCAACAAGTATATTATAAGCCCTTTATATTCTGTATACTTCCTTGTATTTCGCTTATAATGTAAACACTCTCCTTACAGGCTTTATTTTGCGGGGCCTACCACAACTCCACATTTATTCTTTTAAACTGAGAAAGATTAGGGAGTAGACGGTTTGTTGATATGGTAAACTGGTTCCGCTGCTAAACCTGAAGGACATAAGTAACTTTAAGAAAAATATATATATATATTTCTTTTTCGTGTCGAAAGCAAAACGGCAAATCTTACCTTGTCTATTTATTTCAGATTTTATCTTTTATCAAGAAACTCATTTCAAAGTTGACAAAACGAAAATATATGAAGGGGGAGGGGTGTGTTTTAGTAAGACTAAAATACAATAATACAATAATCGCTTCCATTACCTCGTTAAAGATCGAAATTCATCACCAAAAAGCATTTCTTGACTGCTAAAATGGCCTCAAAAATATGTCGAGAGAGGTATCCTTTACTCGCGGTTTGTTGCTAGGTAACACCACGGGAAAAACTGATCGGTTTTTCCGAGCGAATCGCAAGGCGCAGTCAAACGCACGATAAAGACCAACTTTGTACACCTTTAACGCGCTTCAAAAGTGCAGTAAATCCAACTTTTCGTCCCGTGCACCGGATATTTTTAGTCAACACGTATCTTTACCTCGAAAATTAACGATCAAGCGCGATCCACGTACGAAGCGAATTCCGACAAAAAAAATAAAACCTATCTTGCGCGAGGAATAATAAAACGCTTCAGATTTAGTGTTATATACAACCTAATACCAAACCAAAAGTTTATCATATCATATATTAAAAGCCCAGACATTGGAATTTGTTACGTTCTACAATAAAATGTCATTTGTTATTATTTTCAAAAAATTACCACTTTTGTTTCTATAAAATTAATGATATAGTTGCAACTTCTTTTTTGCGAGAAAAGGGTGTATAAACATTAAAGTACGGTCTCTGAAATGACGGCAAAGTCAGTCATTAAGCATCCGTCTAACTTGTTTGCTATATAGTTCTTCACGTACTATATAAAACACTGTTATCAAGACCACTGTGTACAAACAAGAAAATACCTGATTGTAGAATAATATTTATTTTAGACTGCATCCGTTCTGTGGACCAGAATGATATGAACTTCAGCTTCCCTGACCTTTCGGAGAAAAATTGCGCGCTTGAATCATTGAGCCAAAATAAAAAGAGATTCTAGAAGAGTTTTGCTACGACGCTATCAAGATTCACTTACAGTTAGCTTTGATTCTTCTGGGTCCTGAGATTTGCAAAAGTTCAGCTCTTCTTAACCGGCTTGGGTGCTTGCCAAGGATGCTCCTAAAAGACTGTTCTTTGTCCTAAAATTTATCCTGTGTGTCTGTCAGTATCTCGTTATTTTTGCGTCAAGAATGAAGGCAGAATTGTCAGTATTACGGAAAAGCTGTCTGATATGCTTGGTACATTAAACTGTCTTCTTTTACGAACAATTTCTGCCTCGGAGCCTGTTTGAGTCATTGACAGGCAGGGTAGCTAGGGGGAGAGTTTGGGCCGAGATCCTGGAGAGCATGTCCTTAGTGAAATGACCGTGAACATCGTATTAGGTTGGCAAGGCTTACATTAGGTTTTCTCCCCGTCGCTGCGTACGGTCTCAGTAGAAATCCTAAAGATCAGACCGGAAACAATTCTCACTGAACATAGATAAAAGCAAGTATACTTCAGTCTTACTTGAGAGGCATTTCTCGTCCGGTAACACTGCAGTTCCTGTGACCAGACTTCATGCATTAGGCAGTAATGTTATCATAGACAGGTAATTTTTCTTAGAGGGATAAATTGTGTAAACAGTCGACTCTCGATAATTCGAACCTTTAAGGGAAATAGAAAAAAGTTCGAGTTATGGGAGTTCGAATTATCGAGGGTAAAATTATGTAAAAAACGACCTGAAGGGAAATGAAAATTGCTTCGAGTTAGCGGGAGGTTCGAGTTATAGAGGGTTCGAGTTACCGGGAGTCGATTGTAGTTTCTTTGTGAGGCCCCTGCGTGTGGTTCTGTAGCTTCTAGTTACATTGCAATTCTAGTACTTTAGACACTACTGCAGACATGTATAAATTCATTGATAAAATGTCAAATAGCAATGGCTTACAAGGGCTGCCTCTTTTTGGTAACTTATTGGGTCTAAGAGCCGCATGTTTACAATTTGGGCAATCACCTTGTAATCACAATCAAGAACGTCACGTACATCCCAGGGGCGGATCTAGGGGGAGGGTGCAGGGGGTGCGCACCCCTCCCTGAGATGACCTGCGGTTTTCTAATACAACTGGTATTCTGCAAAAAAAAAAAGAACTATGTGGTTAATTGGTGTTGAAGTAGAGCAAGAGACGAGTGCACCCCCTCCTAAAAAAAATCCTGGATCCTCCCCTGCATCCTACCTTTTGGCTAGCTTTCACTGAGTATAGACTAGCCCCTTATTCTCCTAGTCTCCTTCGCAGCCGTTATTAGGGTCGTCACTCGTCACGCAACGCTCCTCCCCAGGAGCGTTGCGTGACGAGTGACGACCCTAATAACGGCTGCGAAGGAGACTATTATTCTCCCTGCATGTGATTTAAGACTAGGTTTAACATACATAACGCCACAAAGTTCACTACCCTCAGTACCTTTCTCTTACTCTTTACCTCGACGGGAATAATCCAGGTAAGCCCCTCTGTACTGCCCTTTTAAGTTTTGCTCCAGCATACTTAGGTTACGATCGGTACGTACATAATAACATCTGTGTTCTTGCCTGCAATGATCCTCTACTTTACAGATGCGGGTAGAATTAAACAGAGGATTCTTTTTTATGTAGAAAATTTATAATCACCTTTGCAGCTGTCTTTGGTTCGAGCGCCCTGTTCATCGAACAATTGCTTGCACTTGCTCAGTGTCGGCTCCAGGGCATGGCAGAAATTCCTTTCCTTATTAAGTTTAGGCAGATTCTCCTGGGGAAAATTGATCAATATTTCTTCGAAAAAGAATGCTTTTGTTCGAGTTTTCACTCTGACTATCGGCCATTTTTAAAAAGTCCGGGAAATCGGGTAGTGCCAGGCTCTCGCGCGGTATGAAATAAGGCAATAGTACCAGTTTAGGATCCAGTTGGTGTAGCGATACATGGAGTATTCTCTTGATTATCATTATTGGTTTTGGCCAACAGTATGATATTCAGGCTTTTCCTTCATGATCATAACTTATAACAGGCAAAACTGGTCCTACCAATGTTTAGGAGGGAAGTCCTATCATTATATCGTCGAATTTTCCGATTAGCTCGGCAATGGCAAGCTACGACAGCAGCAGACACTGAGGTAGAGAGACAGTATATTCGCGACGAAGCGCGAAAGTTGTTCCGTGGAAAAAAGGACGTGAGTATTATATCTGGAAGATATTCAGATCTCCTTCTAAGAAAGAAACTTAAATCCCACGCTGGTGAATTGAGTAAGAAGTTGTTCCAGCTAATTGTCACACGAATGCAGATAAAACCACAGGCTGCCCAGACGTAGTATGTGTTACTGAATGAATATATTAATATCCACATGGACAAATTAATGCGATGAGTCGTCGAAACTCCCATGGACTAAAATAGTCTAAAAGTCAAAATATAACAAAACAAAGCTAAGATACCTTCAACTGAACGTATCCTTGTCTTTCCTGGCCGGTTTAAGTGGCATTTTGTTGAGTTTTGAAATTGTAGGTACTATCCACTAAAGAAGAATTAAAGGCTGGCTACAAAACAAACAGACCATCTCCACGCGCCTTCACACGAAGCGCTATAAATTCGAGAATAATCGACGAATCCGCTCCAAATAACCATCGGCTAATCTGCAGGTAACGTGTGCTCCTGCTTCTGGCTCGCTTGCTCCACAAAACCCATCACAACTGCACAATAATTGCTCGCTCATCAACAACCACTGTTGACCTTTACGCTTCGATATGACCGCATACGACCAGGTTTAATACGCGACGTGAATATTCAAGCTTAGCGACCGCGTTCGCGCAACAATGCAGCACTTGCTATGGGAGGGATGGTACTATTGCTTCCAGGTCAATCAATCGGGAAAATAATATTGATGCCCTTGTCATTTTTTAAAAAGATCCAATTTGCCCAAGGAGCACCGAACAGATACGAATCTTATAGCGGAGCTAAAAAAAATGAGCGGCAGTGGAAAAAGTGAATAAGAACATGTACCACATTTTCTCCATAAAAAGTGAAAACCAGGAAGTTTTCTGGACGTTTCACGTTGCAGTCATGCAAATCAACGGCAAGGAAATGTACAAGAAAGTGTGCTGCAATTAGACCTATTGTTGTTTTTCACAGTTCTGGTCAAGGGCATCCAACTTTTAATTTTTCACATTTCACTCACCGGGTTAGGCTATTTTTCTTAGAGAGTAAAATGGAATCCTAAAATTTTCGGATTCAAAAATGTGATGAAAGAAGGTATCTGAAAAATTATCTCCTTCGTAATACGTTAAATTGCATCTAAAATTTTCGGGAAAATAATTCTGAATTCCTCGTAATTTCGAAAAGACTCAAGTTCCTCTAGAATGGCCGAACACTGAGATGCAAATTTTATAGCGCCACTTAGAATGCATTTCTATAGAGCTAAAAGTACTTTATGAATAGCTACAGAAGTGTTTTCAATTGAAAGTATTTGAGGAAACAGTCGTTGGGTGGCCCTGTCTCGTTGCCTTCTCCGCTTAGCATTACACGATATATTTTATATTTAGTATGAGCAAACTATAAATCATTAGCTTCGCTTTTAGCCCTCCTGACTAAATTTATGTAAGCGCTGTTTAGAATACATTTTTCGATCAAAAGTACCCTGGACAGCCTTAAATGTGTTTTCGATGCATTTAGGGGGAAATCATCGTTGGGTGCCCCTGAGTTTTGAGAATAATAATAATAATAAAAAAAGATATCGCGCACATAAATTTTACCTTACGATATCTTCAGCTGTATCTTCTATTCAGCTGCATAGCGGGGGCCAGATTTTGCCTTTTTCCTGGGCGGAAAATTCTCGTCCTCCTTCACCAGTTTGGACAACATATTATGGAGTAAGACGTTGTTAATCTAAGCAAATAAGTCTGGTAGAGTCAAGAACCTATGCAAGCGGCTGGACGAACAATGTGACAGCAGCTGAGACAGCGAACGTTAGAAGAATTCGAACATGAAAACCAGGGCTGCCCTGTTGAAAACTTACGGACGGTCCCGCGATCGCCTTTTGTTTTCTGGTCAAAACTAACGCAGCGAACCTTCGGTCAGTCGATTGACCTGGAAGCAATAGTACCATCCCTCCCATAGCAAGTGCTGCATTGTTGCGCGAACGCGGTCGCTAAGCTTGAATATTCACGTCGCGTATTAAACCTGGTCGTTTGCGGTCATATCGAAGCGTAAAGGTCAACAGTGGTTGTTGATGAGCGAGCAATTATTGTGCAGTTGTGATGGGTTTTGTGGAGCAAGCGAGCCAGAAGCAGGAGCACACGTTACCTGCAGATTAGCCGATGGTTATTTGGAGCGGATTCGTCGATTATTCTCGAATTTATAGCGCTTCGTGTGAAGGCGCGTGGAGATGGTCTGTTTGTTTTGTAGCCAGCCTTTAATTCTTCTTTAGTGGATAGTACCTACAATTTCAAAACTCAACAAAATGCCACTTAAACCGGCCAGGAAAGACAAGGATACGTTCAGTTGAAGGTATCTTAGCTTTGTTTTGTTATATTTTGACTTTTAGACTATTTTAGTCCATGGGAGTTTCGACGAGTCATCGCATTAATTTGTCCATGTGGATATTAATATATTCATTCAGTGACACATACTACGTCTGGGCCGCCTGTGATAAAACATGTCATGACAAAGTCGCAGAGGAGTTAGTTCAGTGCTTTAGGTCGTATCGAAACGACTTGTACAGAAACAAATTTGTATCAAAATGACTGTTTCTCACCCCATCCCAGCCTGTTGCCCATAGTTGACAACCCTTTGTGTTAATGCCAAGATCTGTTTTTAAGTTTCAGTTCCGCTCCTAATCTTCTTACTGTTTTATAACATCCTATATATCATTGTCATCATCATTATCAAATCATTGTCATCACCGTCATCATCATCATCATCATCATCATCTATTTTGGCGTTGCTTGGCCAAAGATACTACAGTCCTCCATGCAGGTTCTAAGTTGCGGCCATATCCTTCAACATAAGCATTGATAATCCCTTCTGTTCATTTTCTTTCCGTTGGGTTCTTATTTATCAGCAACATTTTATAGCTAAACCATGTATACTGGTGTAGTAGCTATGCACCTGTTTATGGGCCTGGCCCCGGTTGTTCAAACGTTGGATAGCGCTATCCACTGGATAAATCACTATCCACCAGATAAGTATTTGGAAAAACGGATTGTGTTACTCCACTGGATAGAGATTTATCCGGTGGATAGCACTATCCACATTTTGAACAACTCAGGCCTGGCCTATAAGCAGTAATGATCTGGGTAACTCAACAAAGTCAGTGCAAGCTAGACGATATTGCCCAAATGCACATTCACTACGTGTAATATACATCTCTGTTAAAATATTACAGATAACTGACCCAGAGGAGATTAAGATGCACATTCATGAAGCAAATGCTCGAGTTGAGATTGGTATGTGCTGAAATTTTAATTATCAGTAGCTGTAGCGCTACATACTTAACCCTTAAAAAAGGTGCAATTGTGAAGATCACTTTTACATAAGATTTATACTGAAGAAAATGCTCTCAAGCTGAATGAATCCATGGGCTTCTGATGGTACCTGGAAGTCAACTCAGCTATTTATCTATTTGCGGTGCCTTTGACTGAGTTAATTTGACATAGGGTATAGAGTTTCTTGACTGAGCTGCTTGTAACTCCATTAAGTGGCCACCCTCAGGGCACTGGCAAATGGTCATTTAATAATGGGGGTTTAAATTCGCTCAATAGTAGTTCGTCATAAATTAGCATAACATGAGCAAAATCTTTGGCAGAAATATCACCGTTATTTTGAAACAAACATGCGACAGGAGCAGCATTACTGGTCCACAATCGCATATATGCCAACAACTCTTCCGGATAATCTGGGAGTCTACCAGATATATGGTACTGATCTTCCGCTCTCCCATATGGGTCACCAAGTCTCCTGGATAAAAATGGACTTTTGAGCTTTCCTGTGCTTTAGTTTGAAATTTAGCCCATTTTGTATCTCAAAATCTGGACTTTTTTTATTTATAATTTGTATGGTTCCTGGGACATTTTGAAATAAATCCAAACTAAATGTATCAGGTGCTTGATGGCTGCTTAATAGAGGTGACAACAATTGGAGAACTCTTATTGGGATGGCCAAAAGGTGCCCATGGCCGCTTAGTACAGGTTTAAGTTCCCATTGTTTTCTAATATTTTGGGACTTTGATCACTGGCCGTTTAATAGAGGGTGGCCGCTTAATGGAAGGTGAACTGTAACACTGAACAGTAATGATTGTTGATATAATTTTTATATTTTCCTGTAGCCCTTCACTATGGATCTCCTTACCCAAGACTGGTAAGCCTTTGTGTAAAGAATGTATTAATATTATTATAAAATTATGTTATTAAAAAATTATTAACAAAAACCTATGAAATGAAAATTAATACTTCGTATTCCAAAATGGTGGCAATTAAAGTTATTCTTCAGTTTTCATGATAATTGCCTCATTTTAAGGTATGTTAAAGTTCTTTTAAATTCTTCAGATACAAAGGGCTTGTTAACGTAATACAAAAGAAAAGCAATACTGTCACCATTGTGGAATAAAGCTTACACAGGGTATGTTTGCTTTCATTTAATGTGCAATTTTTTTTGTTTTTGCCAGATCCACATGCCTCCTACAGCAGTCCCCAAAACAAACAGAAAACAAAGAAAAGCTCAAGAACGCCTAAGAAAGCATGCAAAACCAATTTACATGCTCTCTGATGAGGATGTTGATAAGTGAAAGATTTCCAGGAAGTGCATAATTTAATTCTAAAACAGTTAAAAGAAACTTCTTTCGCAAGTTGTAACAGTGTTCAGGATCATGTTCATAATGGTATCTGCACTGCTCAGTCTTGATCAAGGCTCAAGAAAATGAGAATATCAAAATGAAGGATCTATTAGAGGCATTTCCGGCTGCTCGTTTGTGAGAGTATGTTAATCACAGAGAACTGGAAAAGGCAAATCATTTTGAGTAGTATTTAGTAGGATCGATCCAGGCGGATAAAGTCTCAAGACAGGCCTGCTAAAAACTATATGAATGTGACTTGTGGCCCATTTACCAAGTCCTTTTGAGGTCAAAATTTGGAATTTTAGCATTGGCTCAAGATTTCTGAAAAATACAGAGGCAAGATGGCAGCCAGGGGTCATTACAGATTTTCTCAATGGTATTCCATAATTCATTGTGGCTTTATAAAGTCAAAGCAAATGATGATACTTAGGTTTGGTGCCTAGAACTGGCAAACTAAGTTTTGAATCGACATCGCAATTTTTGTTCTTCAATTTTTGCTCTACAATTAATATAATCCATATAATTGGGGATGGAGGATATCAGAGTTGGTTTTGATTAGTGGAGACTGGCCTAAAGACTCTATTTTTCACTCTCTATTTTTGCAAACTCTATTTTCAGTCATGCAGATGGCAAAAATGCATGCAACGCCCATGGGAGTGAGCAGCAGTGCTGGATCCAGACCTAGAGATAAGGATGTGGGGGCCTGGTCATCCAGACCCTTAGATAAAGGGGGGAGGGGAACGGTCTCCATTTTTCGGCCCTTCAGGCCTTATTTTGGTTTAAAAATAAGGGGTGGCCTGGGGCCCCCGTGTCCCTCCCCCCTCCCCTGGATCCACCACTGAGCAGTAAGGTGGCCCAATAACGACATAGCAATTTTGTTCCTTTCTGGTAAAATTTTGATACTTACCGCCTTTTTTCTCATTTTTTTTCTTTTCAATTCTTTTGTTTATAATTGTATTCTTTTGTCAGGGGCAGATCCAGGGGTGCACCAAATATAGGGAATGACTGGTGACGTAAACAAATTTTAATACAGATTACGTGCAGTTGTATTAGAGAGCTGCAGGTCATCTCAGGGGCAGAGGGTTCACACCCTCTGCACCCTCCCCCTAGATCCGCCTCTGTTTTTTAATTTCATTTCTCTTTAATTCTCTGTTTTGTTACATTTTTTTCTTTTTTGTTTCTATCACCCTTCTTTCTTTTGTATTTAAACAATTATATGTTTTGGTACATTTTTTTCTTTTTTGTTTATATCACCCATCCTTTTTTTGTATCTTAACAATTTATATGACACAGTTTTTTTTTTTAAATCTGCAAATAAAATAATTAAAAAACATGCTGAGGCCGATAACGCCATAGACCACAATACATTGCAAGTAATGAGTGATATTCCATAAGCCCCCACGGCCGACAGAGAGCGTTCAAGATGGTTACAGGATAGGAAATTCGGACTGGGAGAAGGATTTTGAACCTTAGAGAAAGATCTCTAAAGAGCAGGTTTAGCTGTAACCAGGTGAAAATCAAAGTGAAATTTAAAATACTATTTTGAACAAACTTGAAGCCATAAAGGAGAAAGTGGAAATACTCATTACTGGCGACAGTCGTCAGCAAAGAGGTGGTTCAACGTCGAAAGGAGTGGAGAAAAATCACGCACCAATCAACTCCATATTGGAAAGCGTAGTTCCATCCGATATTGCCTTAGACCAGTCGGGTGGGATATCAAATCTGACAAATGAGGCTTTATCAGAACTTAAGAAAAAGGAGGTACAGGCTAAAGTCGGTGCATCCCATTTCGCGGATTTTCTTTTGAACAAGTCAAGTACAAAGGACTTGAGAGTGGGGAGAAGTTTAAAGAGACTGTGCAGAAACCAGCACTGGCTAAAAATTTAGTATTCATGTGACAACCAAATGAAAAGAGGTTGAACAGATTCAATGAGTATGGGGCTCTGTCCCGCGCACGCTCCGCGTGAATGAGAGCCTCGCTACAAGAAGTGGCCTCTTACCACTTCAGTTCTAGCTGGAAAGCACGTGCGCCAGTCATCTTTATCCCCCCCTTTTCGAAGATGTCTGGGCCATTTCCAGTTATTTTAAGTAGGTAGTACTCTTCCCCAGGATCACCAGCAGCAATAGCTACAAATGTATTCTTAATCAGGAACTCCTTTATCGAAGATAGATTCTCTGCTGACTACAGTTTCTGATCTTGTCGCTCTGTTGCGTGTCAGTCGCTGTTGACTTTCAGTCTCTAGTTGTACTGTCCGCCAAGCAGAAACATAATCGGCATTCTCGCACACTTTGTAGTGCTTATTGATGCATGCAGTTTTCGTAACAAGACAATAGGCGTGTCTATATATAGCCTCCCCGCAGACGTCCTTTGGGGTTCGTTTGTCACGCATTCATTTCTCCCCCACGATCCGTGGGGGAGAAATGAATGCGTGACAAACGAAACCCCAAAGGACGTCTTGCCGGCGGGGTGGCTAGTCTGTATATTGCACGAATTTCGTCCAGAAAGAACACTTTCCGTTTGACTTCTTTGAGGTACCATCCTCGACGATTTCTACTGAATTTGTCGACGTAGAAAAAAACATGCGCGTGGCAGCATGAATGATAGGGAGTCCTCAAGTTATTTCCAGCAAAATTATAAAGGTCTTCCGCCTTTTGGATAACTTCCTGCCCCTTGATAACTGCCACTGATGTCTGCCTTGTGTTTAGGGCTTGTTTACATGGAGTGGGGGACCTCGGTCTAGTGGGGTTGGTTTCTTTTGTTTTCACGCTCTGGGGGACACAAAACAAAAGAAACCTACCCCACTAGACCGGGGTCCCCCAGACCCCCACTCCATGTAAACAGGGTCTTAAATTAGCCCCTGCGCCATCTGCGCCTACGGCCTCGATGGATAACACCCTCCTCGAGCTGCATAATTCTTCATAAGATACTCAGCCTCATTAATTAATTGTTAAATGTTTGCTTTTACGGTTTACTACACGCTGCTGTAATTTGAAAAGCATCGCGATTAAACCACTTAAATACTTTAATTCGACCTGTGCTTTCCTAATAGCGGAAAAATTGAATATATGTATCTGAAATCAGTCGAGTCTACACTTAGCCTCCCACGCAGACGTTTTGTCGGGCAGGAACGCGTGATGAACCCTTAAGAATGTCTGCGTGGGAGGCTAGTCTACACTGTAATTGAACACATAGCCCACTAAGCTAGCCTACAAGACCTGAAACTGATTGACACGAAGTCTTTATGGGACTCTCTCCTCCACTTGCTATTTTTCCATTATTGCTATACAGTAGGAGACTCTGCGGAGAAGAGAGTTTATGGGATGATTGATCCAATAAGCTTACGTTTACGTTCGGGAAGCTACGTTGGCTCGTATTGGGACAAAACACTTCCCAGAATCCAAAAGCACGTCCCAGAATCAGGAGCTGGCTCTTGCCAGAATCCAGAACACATCCTAGAATCTAAGAACACATTCCAGAATCCAAAAACACTTCCCACAATCCGAAACACGTCCCAGAATCCCACGATTCTGGGACGCGTTTTTGGATTCTGGGATATGTTTTGGATTCTAGGAAGTATTAAAATACGAGCCACCGTAGGAAGCGCCTCCAGACACGCCCCACGACGCCATCATCTCGCTTTTCACCGGAGGCGAGGCAGCTAAGGTGTATAATTAACCCGACCACATATCAAACATCTTCCCACACATCATAATTCGGTCATTGTTTACGAGAATGAGGTAACGAGATTGCAAGACATTAGCTTTCAGTGAGTTATAAATTCTTATTTGAGTAGCCATGATATTGAAGGAGTACAGGATTTGTATGCCTATGACAGTCGAAGAGGTGAGAGAAAAGTTTGATTGATAATATGGCTAAATGTAATCAAATAGCTTTGACAACTGTTCTTCATCTCGAGTGTACCGGCGCGCAGATAGGGAAAAATAAAAATAAAAAAGATTGTATGCACGAAGATCTCAACTCGAAAGAAACTAAATTTAAAGAAAAAACGTTGCATTAACCGTCATCTCCTTAATTCGTTGGCAAGATGAAAGCTCTGTCTTCTAACATTTCGACTTAAAAGACTGTGATTCAAGATTCAAAGGTCGTCGACGTAACCGATTTTGCTTTAGGTCGATCCATGTCGCCTGGTAAGTTATGGATGTGGGATCACCTTAAAAAACGCTGAAGAGAAAACGTGGATAATTTAAAAAGTATGTGAATGTAAACTAGGTGGTTTGGTTGTTATTCTGGCATAAACTTTGCTTTTAAACAGTGCAGTGACCAACAACTTGCATTTTGCTGCTGATGTTTCTCGGAAATTTCTTAAGCTTAACTAGCTAAGCTTATTTGTGCCTTGAGTAAATTAAAATACTCAAACAATATCGATCAAAGTGAATCATTCAGTCAGATTAAAGAGATGTGTAAATTCGATGAAAGAGATGCTTTTTATACTTTTGTTCGTTGTACTTTTGTAATTCCAGTACTTAAAGCTGGGCGCACAGATTGGAAAACACTAAAAAGATCATTTCTAACATATAAAACACATCATGAATGTCCTGTTTTTAAACTTGTAAACTCAATACAAAGCGCTCTAAAAATAGGTGTATCACTTGTATTTCACTTTTATTTTATTCAATGGGGCATTGATTAGATTGAAATCAAATCTTGATACAATAAATTGTGTTAAATTATCACAAATAATGCGCTGAAACGTTTCGAGGGTATCGCAGATCGATTTAATTTACGTTGCATGTTAAACTTTAAAATTCACTCCAATTCTGTTAAAAGGCCCAATATCCCCTTGAAGAAAGAGGGCGCTTTAAATTTATAATATCTAAGATTTCGTGACAGCTGACCTACAGCTCACTCTTTAAATTATTAAATTATTCACAAATTTTTTGGACTGCATTAATTATGATATGCATTGAATTTTTGTGTGAATATCATGTGA